GCCTTGGACTTCAACACAGATCCTGACTGCGGTAGAACCATGAACCCAGACATGGTCCTCGACAGCCCAGGTCTGGATATCACCATGGCCCCAGGTGACAGCATAGGCCATCCAGACTAGATGGCAGTGTGGCCCCTGGACTCCAACCTGGTCCCAGGCGGTGACCCAGACCCTGGGAATCTGCATGGCACTTGTGGCAACCAGAGCCATGTATGTCAGCACACCCTGGCTACAGCCTGGGTCTGGATGTCACCAGGTGGTGGTGCAGGCCACCCAGATCAGCATGGCACCAACATGGCCCCAGGTGGCAGCTGAGACCCCAGGAATCCATATAGCCTTCATGGCAACAGGAGTCACAAACATCAACACAGACCTTGGCTGCAGTAAGGCCACGTACCTCAAACTTAATAAGAATTTAAAAAATATTGTGTTTGCTTATGCATGTGTGTGTGTGAGTGCACTCAAGTGTTCATGTCAAGATCAGTACAACTTGGAAGAGGAGTTTTCTTCCATCATGTGAGCCTGGGGTCAGATTGAGGCCATCAGATTCGGCAGCAATCACCTTTACCATTGAACCAGCTGGTCTAATAATAGACTATTTGGGGCTGGTGAGATGTCTTTTTTTTTTTAAGATTTATTTATTATGTATACAACATTCTGCCTCCATGTATGCCCGCACACCAGAAGAGGGCGCCAAATCTCATCACAGATGGTTGTGAGCCACCATATGGTTGCTGGGAATTGAACTCTGGACCTTTGGAAGAGCAGCCAGTGCTCTTAACCGCTGAGTCATCTCTCCAGCCCTGAGATGTCTTAGTTAAGAGCACTGACTGCTTCCAGAGGTCTTGAGTTCAATTCCCAGCAACCACCTGGTGACTCACAACCATCTCTAGTGGGATCTGATGCCAGATTCTGGCACAAAGTCGTACATGCAGATGGAGCACTCATGTGCATAAAATAAATCTTTAATAAGGAAAAGGATATTTTAAGGGATAGTCAAACTGAACCCCGAGTTTGTGTTTGTGTTAATTAAATAAAATCAAGCCTCTCTGATCTAGCAGATTTTCACCCCCACACTTGATTTCTAAGTCTTTGTTGGTAAATAGAACAACAGAGACTTGGTTTTAACCTACATATCAAGACTGAGCAGAGCCAGGCTGCAGGACTAGAAGAACCTCCAGGCCATGGCTTGGGTGGCTAGTAGGGTGCTGTGGGCCCAAGGGGCCACAGATGATAATTAAAATATCAGTAGATTCATGTGCAGCCACTAAACCTACAGAAAAACATCAGTAAATCATCATTTTCTAAAGACATCATAAACTTCAAGCCCTAGGGCCAGTGCGACTCTTGGGGAACTTCGCTGGCTTACTAGAACCGTCCTTCCTGTCAGCTCGGTGCTCTCAGTCATTCAGCCATGAAGCCTTCTACAGGGCCTAGCCCCATGTGTGTGCTCAATGCTTAGGTGACTGTGAGCTTGGCCTCTACTCGGCAGAGGATCCTGAGGCCAAGTGCCTCACCTAAAGGCAGCCTCCTGTAGAGACAGGAGACAGGCTTTATGCAAAAGTCATCCTGACTGGCCGAATTCTATCCAGGCAAATCTAAGTCACAAGGGAGCAGCACCAAGACAGAAACAGGGAGCAGGTAGAGAAATCCTGTATGTTGCAGGGGGCTGACTGCAGCAACTTACCCACAGGACAGCTGGTTCCTTTCTCCTTCCAGACCACAGCCTGGCATTGAACTCCCTTTATCTCAAGGTTAGTTTGAGTTTCCAGTTCTTACTGCCAAAGGTCAGACTGGTACATGTGTGAATGTTTATAATACTTAAAGGAACATTTTTCAGTATTAAGAGGTTACAGGTGAATCATCCCAAATTAGAATGGAATGGTTTTGGTATCGTCCTATCCTTTTCCAAGGGACACTTTGTTGGAGAAACTTTCTTCAAGGAAAGCAGATGTCTCTCAGGGTATTTCTGCGTTCCTCTGGCTGCGTGGTGGAATCACCTGGGAAATGTTTCATTCTTCTTGCCGGCATCACCTGTATAGTTTTCAGATGACACAGTTTTGGAATTTCTGCTCCTGTTGGTCGACAAGCCTTTAATCTCAGCACTTGGGAGGCAGAGGCGAGTGGATCTCTGTGAATTTAAGACTAGCCTGGTCTACATAGGGGGTCCCAGGCCAGCCAACAGCTACATAGTGAGAGGTCTCTCAAAAAACAAAACAAACAAAAGCAATGACATCATGAAATTTTTAGGCTGGATGGAATTTGGATGGAACTAAAAACCATCCTGAGTGAGGTAACCAGACCCAGAAAGACCCAGTATATACTCAGTCATGCGTGGATATTAGATATAAAGCAAAGGATAACCAGACTACAGTCCACAGCTCCAGAGAAGCTAGAACCTTCTTCTGGTAACTGATGGAGCAGAGACAAAACCACGCACCAGGCCGAGCTCTGGAAATCCAGTCAAGAGGGAGGAGGGAATACATGAAAGAGGGAGATTGAGATCATGATCTCCAGAGACAGCTGAACCAAGCTCATGGAAATGGAAGAGCGAGCGAGCTTGTTAGAACCCATTCCCTGTGAGGGGATGCCATGCTCAGACTTAATGCAGAGGGGAGGGGCATGGTCCTACTCCATCTTAATGTGCCAAACTGTGCTGACTCCCCATAGGAGCCCTTACCTGTCGGGAGGAGTTGATAGGGGATAGGATGGGTAAGGGGCACGAGGTGGGGTAGGAGAAAGAACTTTGTTTGGAATGTAAAATTAAATTAAAAATAAAATACATTTAAAAAACAAATCTCACCAACTAGGTATGGGCACATTACTCTGAATTCAGATAGAATTTGTTGCAGAATATTTGAGCAAACTGTAAAGATGTGTCGCTGTTTTACCTTGCCTGCCTAAGTCACCTGATTGGTTTAATAAAGAGATGAATGGCCAATAGCTAGGCAGGAGAGGTTAGGCAGGACTTCCAAACAGAGAGAGGAACTCGGGATGATTCTGGGTGCTCGAGAGAGATGCCAGCGAGACAAGAAGGGAGTCAGACATACAGAACAGAGGAGAGGTAAAAAGTCACGTGGCAGAATGTAGATTAATAGAAACAGGTTAAGTTCCAGGAGCTAGTTGGAAACAAGCCTAAGTTAAAGGCCAAGTTTTCATAATTAATAAATCTCCGTGTCCTTATGTGGGGGCTGGAGGTCCCAAAAGAAAGTCCTACCAAGAAAGACCTATTACAAGAACTGAATGTTCAATTAGTTGACTTTCTTGAGCTGTGTTCTTCTAAAGTGAATCATCTGAGAACTGTGGTATTTTTAATCGGTGTGGGCACACTGTGTGTGAACACACCAGTCACGGCTCACGTGGAGGTCAGGCGACATCGCTGTGAAGTCAGTTCTCTTTCGGCCTTGATGTGGGTTCTGGGAGTCAACTCCGACTGCCAGGCTTGCCTGTCAAATGTTTGCGGAGCCATCTCCCCCTCAGCATCGCAGGACTGCTTGTTTATGTATTTATAGTTAGTGTGCGTGTGAGCCCATTCTCAAGGGTCGAGGGACAACTTCCAGACCTCTGCTGTGTCCTTCAATGTGGGTCCCAGAAATTATGATGGAAAAAAAAAAAAAAGCAACAGGCTTAGTGTCAGGCCACTTTACCCACTGAGCCATCTCACTAGCGCCGTTTTTAAAGATTTTTATTTATGTGTGCTTTTGTGTGTGCGCAGGCGCATGCATGCTCGTACGCTGAGATGAAAACGCATGGGATCTCCTGGAGCTGGAGTTACATTACATGCAGTTGTGAGCCACACACCATGTGCACCGAGCTCTGGCCCTCCGGAAGAGCAGCAAGCCCATCTGTTATAACAGAAAAACAATGTGCCTCCTGGTAAATGGTTTGAGAGCGCTACACTGCACTATACCCAGGCTTAAATATCTTAATAATAATTAACATGGGCTTTAACGGAGTTTGAAAGCATTGATCCCATTTGTCCTAGGTATTTAAATAAACCCACATTTTATAGGCTACAGGTAGAGGACTTGCAGCTCTGCTTTAAGAAATGCATAATTTATGAGCTGTTATAAAGCGTTAAAAACAGTTAAGTCACATGTCTTTTATTATTTAAGATCGAGGCCGATAACAAAGTATTTGTTGGTGTAGTTAGTCTGGTATTTTAGCGCTGCAGGGTTGAAGGTGTGTGGGAGGTAGTTTTCTTGGTGCAGCAATGATCAGGACGGGGGCCCCCACTTCATGGACCTAAGGAGATGAACTCCAAGTGGGCTTGTCCTGACGTGTTGTTTAGAGGAAATGATCTTCCTTTTAGGAACGCAACTGCTCTGAGCGCTCATCTAGTTTATGAACAGACCCAGCGGAGCTAGGGAACCACAGTGCCTAACCCCTCAGCCCACCCCCACTTTCATCGCCTCAGCTGAAGCCTCGGTCACCTACACACACGGAAGGGTCCACTCGGCTCGGAATCCAAACGGCGTCTGTGTCATTGAGACGCAATTAAGTATGCGGGCGAGGGTGGTGGTGCCAACATGAGGACAAGGGAGTGAAGTTGGAGTAGATGATTAAAAAACTCAACTTTCAAAGTCCTAGCAAGGAAGGTGGCTTCTCGGGCGCCTTTACCTTTCGCTTCCCTTGACTAACTGCGCGCCCCCGCTCCACTTTTCTCCCGCTCCTCAGGCGGCGCGCCTCAGCTTTTCAGTACAGCAACATGGCGCCTCCCTGTGCGGCGTGAGCGACTTCGAGCCGCCCTTCCCCGCGGCCCTCGGCCCACACCAGGCCCCGCTTCACACCCCGCGCTGGTTCATTTCTACACAAAAACACGGTGCGGCTCAGCTCCGACCCACCCAGAGCCCCTTCGTGACAGCGGCATTGATGCCGTACAGAAACATGGCGGCGCCCTACGCTGGGCAGGCGCATCCCGGCTCACACCCGCCTCCTGTGCACAGCCAGGCTCTGAGGACCGGTCACCGTGGCGGCTGCCCCCCGCAGCGGGGCTGAGAGGACGGCCCCGACGAGCCAGGCAGTCCGGACCGGAGGGGTCGCGGCCCAGGCGCCCAGCCCGCCGCGCGTCGCTCCCGCCCCTTCGCGGCGCCAGCCCGCGGGATTCGCAGCGGGAGCGACCGCAGGGAGATCGCCGACGCCGCGGCAGGTGAGTGGGGCGGCCGCGCGGGCCAGCGGGCCAGCCCGGGGGGCGCGAGGCGAAAGCACCGGCGTTTCTTGGCCTCTCCCGGCCGGTCGGGTCCCGGGTATGCCGGGTGGAGACGAGGAGGAGGCAGGGGCGGGTGGAGGCCCACCCTCCAGGCCGTCCTCCCGCCGCGCCTCTGCCGCTCCCTCGCCCGCCTAAACAGCTGTTTACAACGGAAGGTGGACGCGGTTTCCGCGCCGGTGGCCAGAGATCTTTCTTTCCCTGAGAGATCCTTTCTGGAGGATTCTTTTGTGTTCAGCTTGGGCCCGCGTGCAGCTCCGACAGATGTGTGTCCCCGTGCCAGGATCCTCCTCCCCTCGGTTTCCTGGTTAGGTACCGGGAGGATTTTATGGTGGTTGAGCGAATGAATGGGAGCAGTTAAGTAGCCCCGGGATGCTACAGCTCTTTAACTAGAGTTGCCGGTCGTGAAAGGGTGGTTGTACCAGCCTGTGGTCGCTGTGTATGTAATCTTAGCGTTAAATGAGGAGGTACGCAACTCCGTAGAAAGCTGAAGTCGCACTCTAAAGAGCCAGAATCAGATCTCAGAAGTGATGGAGAATAGGATATTTTATTAAAAATTGATCACTTTTACTAAAGATATTGTAAGTGGCAAACCACAGGTCCAGTGTTACCCTAAACACCTTGGGCAACCTCTCCCAAATACAGTGACATCACAACAGTGACACGGGGATTTATGTCTATCAACAGATGGGTATCTGCCGGGGTTGGGGGTGGTGCAGATATAGGAACAGAATCTTTGTGGAGAATATGGTTGGTCTTGGCTCTTGATCTAGGCGAAGGGTTTCGTTTTGTTTTTTAAGTACCAATTAGCACTTTCCCCATCTGACTCCCATCCCCTCTTTTCCGTCTTCCTTACCTGTCCCGTTTCCATTTCAGTTGCCATGGCTTCTGCCAGAGGAATGAAATACCCCATTTTCTATCCCGCCCCCCTCCAACTTTATAATGGGGTGAAATTCTACTCCTTTCAAAGATAGGTCACGTGTCATCTTTTCTGGGAAGGCTTTCTCAGCTCCCTCCTGCTATTCAGAATAGCCAAGTCATGCTACTGTGTTTTTTTGTAGCTCCCTGCAAACATGTCTGTCTCTCTCTGGCTAGATTGTTTTCATCTTTTATCCCTCTTTAAATAACCGTATTTTGGCTGGAATTTAAGGCAGGGATGGATGCCAGCGGTCTAGCCACCAGCCCTGCAGGACTTTGGAGAAAAGTGTAAACACAGGGCTGAAGGGCGTGCCCTGGGAGGAGACAGAACCTGCGCGGTCTTGGGGGCAGTCTGCTGAGTTCAAAGGAGTCTTGCTTTTCTCCTTTCTGCACCCACTCTTCATCGTCTGGGCAACTCCTCCGCATGTGAAGAGGGTAAGTTAGGTGTGTTTTTGTTTCTTATGAAATCTGTAGGTGATGTTGTACATTGGGTCTGTTGCACTTCCAAACTCTAGTAGGATTTAGGACCGTGAAGAGATGGGTTTTGGAAGGAAAGATTGGGCAGGTGTGGTGGTACACGCCTTTGTCCCAGAACTCAGGAGTAAGGCCAGATGTGGTGGAACACGCATTTATCCCAGAACTTAGGAGTAAGGGCAGGTGGAGCTATCCGAGTTCAGGACCAACCTAGTTAACTTCATAACTTTCTATGTGGCTTAAGACCCTTTCTCCAAAGGGGAGGGGGCTATGGATTAGAAAGGTGAGGTGCCACTAGACTTGGTGGTAGCCCTTAATCCCAGCCATTGAGAGGAAAGGCAGGCAGATCTCTGTGACGTGACAGCCTGTTCTCTCTATAGAGTTGCAGGCCAGCCAGGCTTGTGAGACCCTGCCTCCAAAAATAAATAAACGAATCAACAAAAAGATGACAAAAGCTACTTCGGCACTTATTTTGGCTCACAGTCCAGGGCTATTGTCTGCCATTTAGTGGAAGTCCCTGCAGCTGAAGCATGAGGCACTGGTCATATCACATTCTCTGTCAAGAAACACAGCAGCAAATGCTTGTGTACAGTCCCCTCTCCTTTTGTTAGAGCAGAACCCAGCTCAGGAAATGGTGCTGCCCACATGCGGGAGAGGCTCCCCATCTCAGCATAATTGATCTCTCACAGGCATTCCCGTGAGCCAGCCTGATCTAGACAGTTCTCATAGAAGGTCCTGTTGGGGAAAATTATTTAAAGTATGTGTCTTTTGTTTATGCTGCATGTGTTTAACTCTGTGAAGCTGTGATTCTTTGCCTTTCTAAAACACCTGCTGGTCCCAATAAAGAGCTGAATGGCCAGTAGTGAGGCAGGAGCAAGGATAGTCAGGGTTAGGAGGCAGAGAGGATAAACAGGAGCTATGGGAGGCCAAGGAGAAGACACCAGGGGTCAGCCACCCAGCTTACACAGCAAGCCACAGAGGAAGAAGTAAAGTAAGGAATACAGAGACAGAGAAAGAGGCAAAAGGTAGTGTGACAATCTAAGACAAACTGGCCAGAAACAAGTCAAGCTGAGGCTGGGCATTCCTAAAAATAAACCTCCGTGTGTGATTTATTTGGAACCAGGTGGCGGGCCTCCCAAAAGGCCAAAAGAGTAAAACATCAGCCAGGCGGTGGTGATGCACGCCCTTAATCCCAGCACTTGGGAAGCAGAAGCAAGCGGCTCTCTGTGAGTTCGAGGCCAGTCTGGTCTACAAGAGCTAGTTCCAGGACAGGCTACAAAAAAACCAAAAAAAAAAAAAAAAAAAAAAAACAAAACATCATACACAACAGCGTCTTTTGTAGCATGAATTCTCTTTGGTCTTAATAATAAAAACTCAGAGTCAGCATCAGAGGGTAAAAGCTGAAGGATCAGAGAAGCAGAGCAGCCACTAGAGTTCTTACCTCTACCAATGCTCAGACCCAAGGGGTGGTCCTGTTCTCAAACTCTCTCCTCAGACTGCATCCTCAAATTGACTGCTTCCTCAGACTGATTCAGACTGACTGCACTGAGCTCCTATCTCCTCCCATCTTATATTCCTCTCTCCACCCAGCCATATCACTCCTGTATCCACCTCCCTAGTGCTGGAATTAAAGGCATGAAATCCCAAGTGCTGGATCACCCTTGTGTGAGCTCTGTTTCTTTTTATTTTAGACTGGATCAATTTTTTTTTATTTTTCGAGACAGGGTTTCTCTGTAGGTTTTTNTTTTTGGTCTCTGTCCTGGAACTAGCTCTTGTAGACCAGGCTGGCCTCCAACTCACAGAGATCCGCCTGCCTCTGCCTCCCAAGTGCTAGGATTAAAGGCTTGCACCACCACCACCCAGCTGGATCAATTTTTTGTAGCCCAGGGTGGCCTTGAGCTAACAGAGATCCATCTGCTTCTGTCTCTTGAGTCCTGGGATTAAAGGTGTATGCCACTACTGCTTGGCCTCTGTGGCTAGCTAGTGTGGCTAGCTCTGCACTCTGATCTTTAGGCAAGCTTTATTTGTTAGATCATAAACAAAATACCACCACAGTCCTTTCCAAGGTGAAGAAGCTACATATCACCATGTTGACAATTGAGACTGGCCATCACAACAGGCCTGAAAATTTCAATTCCAGTAACTTTATTCTATGTAATAGAAGTCTCTTGAGATTTTAGATAACTGAACCAAGCGATTCTTCTCTCTCTAATTGCTGAAGAAAAGTATGCCAAAATCTCCTTAAAACAGCCAACATTTCTTTAGATTCTCGATTACCTTCCAAGTGTGTAATTTGATTGAATTAGTTTTTATGACAATAGTTTGTCATTTTCTGGATATAATTACTTTCAATGTTGAAAATGTTGTCTTTCTTAACTAGAAATGTCCTAAGAATAGAGAAGGGTAGGGAGGACTTAAGAAACTTTAATGTAATTAAAAGGTTCCTCCTTTATGGAGCTGGAGAGATGGCTCAGCCGTCAGGAACACTGGCTGCTTTTGCAGAGGACTCAGGATCAGCTCCCAGCACACATATTAGGTAGCTCACAACCACCTGTTAGCTCCTATTCCAGGGGATCTGATGCCCTCTTCTGGTTCCTGTGAGCACTACACACACATAGTCCATGTGCAGGTAAACCCTCATACACCCTTATACACATAAAACAAAAATAAACAAATCTTGGGCTGGAGAACTGGCTCAGCAGTTATGAGCCCTGACTGCTCTTCCAGATGTTGAAGGTTTGATTCTCAGCATCCACCTGTTGTCGTTTTTTTTTTTTTTTTTTTGGTGTTTCAAGACAGAGTTTCTCGGTGTAATAGTTCTAGCTGTCCTGGAACTAGCTAGCTCTTGTAGACCAGGTTGGCCTCCAACTCACAGAGATCTGCCTCTCGAGTGCTGGGATTAAAGGTGTACGCCACCACCACCTGGCCCCCACCTGTTGTCCTACAACCATCTGTAACTCTAGTTTTAGGGGTCTATTACCTTCCAACCAACTCGGACATCAGGTACACATGCAATGCACAGGCACACATGCAGGCAAAACCACTCATACACATAAAATAACTCCTTTGAAAAATGCCTTTATTGACTGGTCCAGACTGGAGTGTCAGGTAATATTCCTGTTCTTCTCAGCAGCTGATTCAGTGGAAACCCAGTCACATTTATTGTGATTGCTGGTGCTTCCTGCTGTACTCATATGCTCTTTCTGTTGATTAGCAACTATGTAAAAATACATGCCAGGCAGTGGTGGTGCACATCTTTAATCCTAGCACTTGGGAGGCAGAGCCAGACAGATCTCTGAGTTTGAGGTCAGCCTGATCTACAGAGTTAGTTCCAGGACAATCAGAACTGTTACACAGAGAAACCCTCTCTGGAAACACATACATATATATACACACATATACACCCCATATATATATATGTTTGTATATATATATATGCATATATGTCCCAGGCATTTCTCTTAAATACTTTATAGAGTCTAGAAAGTACTACTTGTCACTCCCTTTTATTTATTTATTATCTGACTTGTTTAGTTTTTGAGACAGCGTCTCATTATGTAGCTTGGGCTGTTCTAGAACTCTTGCTATAAAGATGAGACTGAACTCAAACTCAGAGATCTGCCTGTCTCTCCCAGTTATTCTTTTAGAATCTAGGGGAAGGGTTGTGCGTGAGTACTCCCCTGTACATGGAAGCCAGAGAGATCAACTCTGAGTATCTTACAGGCATGTTTGTGTGCCTGGCTTCAGTGGGTTCTAAGGATCTGAATTCAGGTCCTCAAGCTTTTATAACAAGCACCTTACCTACTGAGCCATCTCCTCCACCCCCATTCCCAGGTCTTTTTTTCCACACAAAGACAAGAAGCCATCCATCTCCTCAGCACAGTATTGAAAGGTGGCCAGAAGCGTTGTTTCCAATGAGTTGCATTTTGGTGCTGTTCGTTTTGACTTAAGTGACCCTGGTCCTGAAGTTGCTCTGTCCTTCACCTCCCAAGTGCTGGGATTACAAGAGTGCACAACCAGGCCAGCTTTCCAAGGGCTTTTCCTGTTAGCTCCCAGCCATGAAGGTAAAGAGTGTTAGTTTCAGGTGGGTATGGTGGTACACGTCTGTAGTTCCAGCATCTATGAATTGGAGGCAGGAAGGTCATGAGTTCAAGGCCAGACTGGGTGAGGTAGAGAGCTAAAGGTCAGTAGAGACTATGTATGGAAACACTGTCTCTGAATACAGACTTAAGATGGAATCACCACTCCCTCTGATGGACCTGAAGCTGTCAGTGTTAGCCCCCTTCCTCCTTGTGACATGGTATTCAGGAGTGGGGCCCAAATATTCCAGCTCTTCTCGAAGCCTTCCAGGTGTCACTGGTTAAGTGTCTTTATCACCGAGGTAGAGTATAAATGAAAGGGGTTGCTCATTCGGCTACTGATACGGTCTGAACCCATTTGGCTCATTGTCTTTCTTTCCTAGGGCAGCGAATAGACCTCACTGAGGATGTCTGAAAACCTCGACAAGTCCCACAGAAACAAAGCAGGAGAGTCGAAGCCGAGTGACTCTGAGCAAGGCCTGGGAGGTGCTCTGGAACGTTCTGATGAAGCCTTGCAGAAAGAAGTAAAGTCGGACGCACCTAGTCCCCAGAGAGTGGGAAGACCTCACTGTAAGCAGACGACTTGGACTGAAAGCTCTGTGTGCTGTTTGTGCCTGTGGCTCCGAACTAAGTTCCCCTGGTGTGACAAGACTGCCAATAATTAGCAGCCTAGCTCCTTATGTGTTGAAGTAAAAGCGGCAGGGCTGCGTCCCCGGCACCCGGCCGCCCTCATGATTAGGTTATGCCCAAAATAATTACACGGAAACTGTATTCTTTCAAACACTGCCTGGCCCGGCTAGTTCCAGTTTCTTATTGGTTAGCTCTTACATATTGTTCTAACCCATTTCTAATATTCTGTGTAGCCCACGAGCTGGCTTACCAGGGAGGATCTTAACCTGCATCTGTCTGGTGTGGGAGCATCATGGCGACTCCCTGACTCAGCTTCTTTTTCCCAGCATTCTCTTCTGTTTTCCCCGCCTACCTAAGGGTTGGCCTATCAAATGGGCCTAGGCAGTTTCTTTATTAATAAGAAATCACTCCCACATCACTTATGGGTTTGCAATTGCATGAGAAGTTCAAGTTTTCGAATAGTAGCAGAATGTTCCTGTCTCTCTCTAGCCTCAGTGGCATTCCGTTTTCTCTTTCGTAGTCTGAGAAACGGGGATAGAGGGAAACTACAGCTTTGGTTAAAGGAATGCAAAGTCTGAGGCTCCTCCGAGCCAGAACTGTGCTTACACGGTTGAAAGAGAGAAACCTAGTGCTTGGCCACACCCTAAGTTCATTTCCCCAGGGCTTGGTCGCCACAGGCAGAGGGGATGCAGTTTGCTGAGGGAAGGAATCGGTTTTTTTTTTAGGCCCCAGCAGGGAGTCAGCCTCCTAGATGAAAGGAGTAGCCAATATTTGCCCGGCTCAGGTCTTTTCTTAAGAACCCATAAACCTTTTGAAGCAAATCCAGAAATGCAGATCTTAAGAAGGAGTGTCATAGTCTAAGAATGTTGGTGCTGATGTTATCGAGGTGTAAACCAAGTTGTTCTGCAGACTGGGAGGAAGGACACAGATTTGGAGGTTTTGAGGTATGTTTCCAAAATAATTAAAGTCATTCCTGAATAATTTATCAGTCATCAGAGTGTTCTTATACCTACAAGTGGTCCTGTTTTCTTAGTTTATGGTCACATAGTCTGATGAAAGTAGCCCACATTGGTGTGCGTGCATGAGTTCCTGTCAGTAGGAAGGTAGGAAGGTAGTTCCGCATTCATCTTGAGGCACTCTGTCTCCTAGGGCAGTGGTGAACATCAGCTGAGTTCCTGTAAGGCATTACAGATAGTGCTTAGATGCAGTAAGTGCTCAGTAAGGTCGGAGGTTGTCACTCTACCAGTGTGACGTCATCTGCTGCATGTCTAACGGGGGCTGAGTGCTGTAGTGTGGACGCTGTGTCCTGAGTCTGAAATGCTCTCCATAGCCCCTGTGTTAAAAGCTGGGGTCCAGCTGTGACACTGTGAGGAGAAACTTTAGGAGGGAGGGCCTCTGGGAACTGCCCTGCGAGGGACATTTGGGGCCCAACCACTTCTTCATCCTCCTTTTGCTGCCATCATGTGCAGGATGGATCTCCTAGATCAGGGCTGGAACTACCAAACTGTACGCCAACCCCCAACCCCCAACCCAAATGTTTGAGATCCAGACTCACATAGCCCAGGCTGGACTCAGATTCTCTCTGTAGCTAAGGGTAACCTTGATCCTCCTGTCTCCATTTCCAAAGTGCTGGTTACAGACTTGTACTACTGTGCTTGGCTCTCAGCTTTTATGTGTGATGTATGTATGTATGTATGTATATGAGTTAAGGTCTCACTCTGCAGACGAGGCTTCCCTGGAACTCACCTTGGAGTTGGCCTCAGACTCATGTGGCCTAACAACCTCAGCCTCTGAGTGCTGGGATTGCAGGCGTAAACTACCACACTCAACAGCTCTCTCTTAAGGAGTTGGTTTATCCAGTACTCCCTACAGCAGCAAAAAACTGACTAACGAGACATAGACTGCACACATGGTTTCTAGTAAAGAAGGGGTTTTGGTTTATCTTCTCAGTTATTCTGTGAAGGACAGACTTGCTTCTTAGCATTCTGTCAATGATGGCATGGCTCTAAATTAATGTGAAGTTAGTATTAGGCTACGATATTTGAAAATACAGGTGGTTATGTCTAAGGCAAGAGTATTTAGGGAGCCAGAAGCTGTTAAAAGAAAAAAAAAAAAACACAGGTTGGGTGATTCACAGCTGTTAGGGAATCCAATTTTTTTTTTTAACCCTTCTTTGGGTACCAGTGTATCATTATAGATACATACAATTCTTTTAAAAATCATTATTAAAATCTATGTTTGTGTGAGGCAGTGGTGCCACATACCTCTAATCCCAGCACTCAGGAGTCAAAGGCAGGCAGATCTCTCAGTTCAAGGCCAGACTGGTCTACAGAATGTGTTCCAGGACAGCCAGGAGTATACAGAGAAACCCTGTCTTGAAAAACCAAAGCAATAAAACAAACAAACAAAACTGATGTTAAAAATGATGCTCATTGCTGGTTATTGGTGGCGTATGCCTTTAATCCCAGCACTTGGGAGGCAGAGGCAGGAGGATCTCTGTGAGTTCAAGGCAAGCCTGGTCTACAAAGGGAGTTCCAGGACAGGAACCAAAGCTACAGAGAAACCCTGTCTCGGGGGAAAAAAAAAAAAAAAAAAAAAAGATGCTCATTTAAAAATTAAAATTTAGGTTAGGACAAAATTTCTAACAATTTCTTAAAGGACCCTAATGTGTTTCTGCCATTTTTAACACATATATAAAGCAATGTTTTTAGTATAAACAATTACAAAGTCACGATGTTGATCAACTTTGAAAAGCATTAAAGATGCTATACTTCAGTATCAACTATTCAACCAAGATTTAACTAATTATATAAAATATTTTTATAAGCATATCTATTAGTATGCAAATTTTCTTTGATGTTTAATAAATTGATAAAATTATATGTCTACCAAAGTATTGTTTTTGTGTATGTTTTTCTTAAGATTTAAAAAATTAGTGGGGTGGTAATGGCTCACACCTTTAATCCCAGTACTCAGCAGGTAGGGTCAGGAGGACCTCTGAGGCCAGCGTAGTCTACAGAGCGAGTTCAAGAACAGCCAGAGCTGTTACCCAGAGAAACCCTGTCTATAAAAACAAACAAGCAAAAAAGATGTGTGTATATATTTACACACACACAGACACACAAATACAGCTCAAATCTTTGAGTGCCTTAGAACTTTACAAATGGAGTGCGCAGCCTTTGTAACTGCTCACAGCCTTGGGCTGCTGGGATATCGTCATCACTCCCATAATCTTCTGGTACACTCGGTAGCAAACCGCTCTGTCTGTCATAGCCTTGGTAATTATTGATCTGCTTTCGGTATAGTCTTGCTGTTTGTATGACTTTATATGGATGGAGTTTATATCCATCTGATATAAACCCAGCTGATGCGGTGCGTCAGTGGGGAAAGGGTGCTCCCTGCCAAGCCTCATGCCGCGAGTTCAGTTTTTGGGATTCACATCAGGAAAAGAGAACCATCTCCCACAACTTGTCCTGTAGCTTCCACACATGTGTGGTGGCATGCACATGTATACACATACAATGCACTTGCATTAATTTTAAAATATTTTTAAAAATGGAATTCTAGTGACAATGATTACTTATATCTGACGCTGTCAATAGAGAGAGTTCATCTGAAATTTGTGGTTTTGCATTTAACAGTAGTTCCTTTTTATTGCCAAGTAGCATCCCATTTGTGGTGATATACAGCTTCTTTATCTTTCTGTAATTGAGAGACATTGGGATTTATCAAGGTTTTATGAATAAGATTATTTATATATGAGTACAAGTCTTTATATGACCCTACTGTCTGTTTTCTTGGGTAGTGGATTAGGAGTGGGGTTTCTGGGACGTGGTAATCGTATGTTTTGCTTTATAAGAAACTACAAGGAGGCCCGAGGAGATAGATAACTGGTAGTGTTTGCCCAAGGTTAAGGACCTGAACTTGAATCCCATAAGCCACATAAATCAGTTAGGTATAGTGGAACATTCCACCAGAGACAGCCAGAGCTGCAGAGTTTGCTGGCCACCTGTTATGCTTGGTAATTTTCAAGTTCCAGAACCTTGCTCAAAAAACAAGATGGATGGCTCCCGGGAAATGACATCCAGGATTGACCTTTGGCCCCAAGTCACACACACACATGCACACACAGAGAAACCACATTGGCTGTTGCTTTCTATCACACTCCACATATAAGTCCAGACACTCTACCTTTGTGCCGGTGTTGAGCATATTTGGTATGGTCAGTCTTCCTGCTTCTGGCCAGCACTACTAGATGTGTAATTGTAGCTCACACTGGGTTTATTGCATTTCTCTAATGGCAATGAGCATCTTTCCATGAACTTTGTAGGCATTTGTACGTCTTCTTTGAAGAAGTGTGTGTATGACTCTTTTGCCCACTCTTATTGTTGTTAATTGTTTATTACTGAATTGTGGGATCTTACAGAGCTGACTGTGTGCTCTGTCGAGTGCTTTACCTGTGTTTTCTCTCGTGACACACCTTCCATGTTATTTTGTTGTTGTTTTCTGGATGGGTTCTCTGTGTAAGAGTCCTGGCTGTCCTGTGGACGGAATTTTTGTCAGTACCACCAACCAGCTCTCAAATAACCATACAGAGACATAATATTAATTATCAATGCTCAGCTAATAACTTAGGCTTATTACTAACTAGCTCTTACAACTTTAATTAACCCATATTTCTATATATGTTCTACCGTGTGGCTCAGTACCTAATCTCAGTATGGCATGCTTATCTCCTCCTTCTTCTGCATCTTGCTTGGGACCCTTAGACTTTGCACTTCTTCTCAGCCTTCTCCTAGTCTGGCTGTCCCACCCAGTCTCTTCCTCCTGGCTACAGGTCAGTCAACTCTGGCCTATATAACCCATGAGAGTGATACATATTTAAGTGTACAAAGACTATCCCTCAACATTTTCTCCTTTTCCATCTGGATCTGTCTTCTCTGAGCATCTGTATTGTTTTTTGATTGTATGAGACAAATCTTAAATTGCTATGTTAGCTGCTGGCACTGTTCAGTTGAGTGTGTGGTGCTAGCGCATGGTGGTTGGCAGTTGGCTCCATTCTGCAGGCAGCTGCCAAGAGACAGGTCTCTGTACTGTGGCCAGCATGAGAGACATGAGACTAGGAAGCTACATTTGGCTCAATTTTTGTTTGTTTAGAACCTTTTTAAAGCTTTCTCAGATCTTTCGTGGATGTAGGTATCCCACATGAGAATGCCATTTGTAAGCAGAGTGTTTTTGTTGGCACTGCTGGCCAATTCCCAAATAACCACACAGACACTTAATATTAATTATAAATGCTTGTCACATAGCTTAGGCTTATTACTAACTAGCTCTTACAACTTTAACTAACCCATATTTACCTATTCTCTGACAGTGCTTCTCTCTGTATCTCACCACTCCTGAGACTCCCCTTCTTCCCTGTATTCCCTTTTTTGCCTGCAAGTCCTGCCTGACTTCTACCTGTCCAGCTCTTTATTAACCAGTGAGAGTAATACATATTACAGTGTACAAAGATTGTTCCACAGCAGTCCTGGAACTTGCTTTGTAGACCAGGGTGGCCATGGATTCATAATGATCCATCTGCCTCTTACTCCTTAGTGCTAAGATTAAAGGCATCAGATACCTTGCCTGCTACACTTTCCATGTTCCTAATAGCATCTTTCACAGAGTACAAGTTTTAGAAAGAAGTCTAATTTATCCTTTCCTCTTTATAGTTTGAGGGGTTTTTTTTGTATCATAAAAAAAATCACTTAATATAAAATCAGAAAGATTTTCTGTCATAAAAGTTTTATCATGTTAGCTGTTCCATCTGTTTTTTTAACTCACATTGAATTAGTTCTTTGTCATGGAGGAAAGAATTGGGTCTTTTTTTAAAAAAAAATTATATCATTGTTGTTCTTGTTTTTGTTTTGAGACAGGGTCTCTGTGCAACCCATGCTGTCCCGGATCTCACTGAGTACACCAGGCTAGCTTTGAACCTACATTGATTTGCCAGCCTCTGCCTCCCTAGTCCTGGGATTGAAGTTGTGTACCACAGCACCTAGCAAAGTGTTGGTTTGTTTTTCTTTTCTTTTTTGTTTTGTTTTGTTTGTTTGTTTGTTTTGTCTTGTTTAGTTTTTGAAGACAAGATCTTTCTTTTTTTTAAATATTTATTTATTTATTATGTATACAATATTCTGTCTGTGTGTATGCCTGCAGGCCAGAAGAGGGCACCAGACCCCATTACAGATGGTTGTGAGCCACCATGTGGTTGCTGGGAATAAACTCAGGACCTTTGGAAGAGCAAGCAATGCTCTTAACCTCTGAGCCATCTCTCCAGCCCCCAAGACAAGATTTTTCTAAGTATTCCTGGCTGTCCTGAAACTCATTCTATAGACCAGGCTGGCCTTGAACTCAGAGATCCTTGGAGATCTGTCTGCTTTTGCCTCTTGAATGCTGGGTAAAGGCATGCTCCATCATTGCCTGGCTGTCATTCTTTTTTATATGGGGATTTAATTGTTTTAGAGATATTTTTATTAAAAATATTGTGCTTGTCCTCTGACTACACACACACACACACACACACACGTGAGTGTGTCAGTGTGTTTCTCTCTCTTCCTATACTTGAGTCTGTTTCTGTATTCTCTGTCAGTTATTTGTCTGTATGCAAAACCTTATAGTCTTGGGCTGGAGAGATGGCTCAGAGGTTAAGAGCACTGCCTGCTCTTCCAGAGGTCCTGAGTTCAATTCCTAGCAACCACATGGTGGCTCACAACCATCTATAATGAGATCTGGTGCCCTCTTCTGGTCTGGTGGCATACATGCAGACAGAACACTGTATACATAATAAATAAATAAATCTTATAAAAAAAGAAAAAAAAAACCCTATAGTCTTGATGATTATAGCAGTTTCACAGAAAGTCTTGAAATCAGCATAAGTCTTCTTGGTGCTCTGGATCTTTTGCGTTTCCATATAAATTTTAAAATCAATTGGGAAATTTCAAAAATGCCTGTTGGGGTTTTGGTTAGAATATATTTAGTCAATAGATTTAGAGAAAATTGACATCTTCATAATATCAAGAATTGAAAAAATATTATCTAGGCTTTATTTGGGACTTTTTTTTGGTTTTTCGAGACAGGGTTTCTCTGTGGTTATTTGGGACATGTTTATATTTTACTAATATGTATGACATTAATTTTACTTTTATTTTGTATTTTTATTAATATTTTCTGGAAATGCTAAGAATTTTGTGAGGAAGGATTCTCAATAGTTCCACAACTTCCCCGTGTGCAATTTAATAAAGATTTGTTTTTTAACCAAACAGGATATGGCCAGCTCTTAGAGTTGCTTCATTTTTCAGGAGGCAATGGGAAGCAAAAGGAAAAAAAAAGTTAGAAGAAAATTTATTTTTCTCTAACCTAAGAGTTTTTCATCTGTTAAACCCTGGGCAGACCAGCAGCATTGTTTATCATTATCTTATCCCGATCTCAGGAGACTAAGAAGTCTCTAGCTCAGAGCTCCCAGCCGACAGTATCAGCTTGAGATCCTGTGCAAGTAAAATTCTTCTGTCCTGCCAGACACTAAAGCCAGCAGCCAGCCTCCCTCACTTCCTCTAGTTTAAATCTGGAGAAGCATGGCCTCTGGCTCCCTAGGAGTAAACTTACCCCTTATTCCTTGGTTTAGAACACTAGGGGAGAATCTTCTCAGAACTTTGGATGTGGAAGATAAATCTCAGGCTGTATTGAGAGAACTGAGAACAGTTCCGAGGCTTTGCAGTCCGCACAGGAACAAAAGCTACAGGACTTGCGTGAGAGAGCCGTGAGGGAGGGGGAAATCCTGGAGACTTCTTCAGGTTTTGATTTAGCAGGTCTGTATCCTATAGAATTCTAATATCCCCTACCTCTGACCTCTTTGTTGGCAAGCCATAGAGATCTTATAGCCTGTCTATTCTGTACTAGGTTTTGATATTGAGATATTATCATATGGAACTCAGACTGGTTTGAACTTGTTACATAGCTGAGACTAGCCTTGAACTCCTGATTCTCCTGCCTCTACTTCTTAAGTTCTGGAATTGCAGGACATACACCACCAAGTCCTGGTTAACTTTTTCTTTTTAAAAATTTTACTAGTGTGTGTGTGTGTGTGTGTGTGTGTGTGTGTGTGTGTGTGTGTGTGTGTGTGTGTGTGTGTATCGTGTCTGTGTGTAGGTTAGAAGGCAGCTGTGGGTTTGGTTCTCATCATGTGGGTCCCAGGGATTTCACTCAGGCTGTCAGGCTTGTGATCCAGGACATTACTTGCTGTATCATCTCATGAACCCCAGCGTATGGATTCTAAGCTTGTTTAAGACTTAATGCAAGTTTAATTTTGAAAATATCAGTGTTAATGCCAAAGTAAGTTGTTTATGGAAGCAGAAAGAAATCTTTTTAAAATTTGTGTTTACATGTGAGTGCTTATGGCCACACATGCCACAATACACGTGTGGAGGTCAGAGGGACCACATGCAGGATTCAGTTCTGTCTGTCTACCATGTGGGTTTCAGGGATGGGACTCAAATCAACAGATTTGGCAGCTGTAGCACAAATAATAAAAGCCCAGAGACAGAAATTGGGGCTCAACCTGAAAACCAGAAAAACAAAGCAGCGAAGTCACTAGAGAAGTCTTTCCTCTACCAAGGTTGGGCAACCACAAACTAAGCAGCCAAGCCTCTCTCTTCCCATTTTATGTTCACTCTAGTACAGGGATTAAAGATGTGTGACTTCCTTGGACTGGGATTAAAAGTGTGAGCCATCACCACATGGATTCGTTTCTGTGTTGAACTTGTGTAGCCTAGGGTGGCGTTGAACTCACAGAGATCCACCTGTCTTCCAAACCCGGGGATTAAAGGTGTGTGTCACCATTGCCTGACCTCTAGTGGCTTTAGCTTTGCTTCTGGTCTTCAGGCAAGATTTATCAAAACTCAAATAATATGCCACTATAGGCAGCAGACCCTTTTACCCATTGAGTCATCTCACTGACACCTGAAAAGATTGTAAATCTGTATATTTTTCTTTTTGAAAGAAAGGAATTAGCAGAGGCAGAACATAAACCTTTAGCTTACTGAGACAGTGAAAACCTGCAATTTAAGTTCTCATCCCAATTTATTGTGCTATTTTCTATTGAGCAGTCTTAGTGGGAACATACATACATATGTTTTGTGATTATATTAGTACCCGTCACTTTTAGCATTCTACGTAAAAAGAAAAAGCTAAACCTATTGTTTGAAATGTTGGGGTCCAGATATTGTTGTAGCTGCTGTCGCAGGCCTTAGCTTAACAAACTTCTTAAACTGGGTTTTTGTTACAGCTAGTCCTCCTCGGCTTGTCACTGTAGAGGAGCTTCTAGAAACAGCGAAAGGAGTCACCAACATGGCTCTGGCCCATGAAATTGTGGTAAATGGAGACTTCCGGATTAACACTGTTGAATTAGCAGAAGGCAGGTACGTGTGTGGACTTGTTTACTAGAGCATTTCCAGTCCTGGGAATGGCTTCCCATTCAGTGCCAGTGTGATCAAGACATTCTTCCTTTTGTACATCAGTGCTAAAAATATTCCTAGGTTAGGAACATGTGAACATGTCTCATAACCACAGATGCTTCAGGATACAAGGAAAGAGTCTGGAGTCTGTGGAAGCTTTCGTGCCTGCTTTTCCCCGTGAGGGCTCAGCCATTCCTTTGTTTGCAGCACGGGTCTCATCCATTTCCTTGTGACTGTCACTGCATTGCAGCTCTAACTGGCATCCCTTGCCGGATTGACTGTGTGAAGATAAGGAAGCCAGGGGAGGTGGCACATGCCTGTAATCCCAGCTCTAGGAAGTGGAGGCAGGAGGGTCAGTTACAGGTCATCCTCAACTATGTAGCAATTCAGAAGCCAGCCAGGACTATATGAGTCCCTATCTCAAAAATCAAAAACCAAACAAGATAATAATAGTAATAATAAAAAGGCTGGAGAGAAGGCTCAGTGGTTAAGTGTATGAACTGCTCTCTGTGGGCACCTCTATTCACATGTATGTATCGCAGGAACTTGCCAAGGTCAGAGAAAATAAAATTAGCAACTCTAAAATTTCCAGTTTTTAAGAAATTTTAATTTTTTAAATTTTATGTGTTTTTTTTTTCATGTATATATGTGCACCATGTGCATGCCTGGTACCCACTGGGTCAGAAGAGTGTTGGATCCTGGAACTGGAGTTATGTATAGATGGTATGAGCCATCATGTGGGGGAGGGGGTGGGGGCTGAGAAGTAAATCCGCATCCTCTGCCTGCAAGAACACAAATGCTCTTTGCTGCTGAGCCATCTCTCCAGCCTCTGATCGTCTCCCCTTATGGCACTGTTACACGCTATTCACTGGATTCATGTTGCCCACTCTTAAGAGGGAAAGTAGCTAGAGTGTCGTCAGCTTATGTCTGGGACGTCTTTCCTTGGTTCCTATGGTTTTGAAGATTTGTTACCCTACAGCCATAGAATTTATGACTTTGAAAATAATTTAGATTCATATATATACATATATATATTATATTGCGTTTGTCTTTTTATTTTTCCTTGTCTTCAGCTTAGAGAAGAGAGTAAAGGAGATTGTACATAAAGCTTTCTGGGATTGCCTGAGTGTCCAGCTAAGTGAAGACCCCCCAACATATGACCATGCCATCAAACTTGTAGGAGAGATCAAAGAGGTGAGGCAAAGAGTGACTCGTGCCTAGGGAGTGTTCATCCAGCCTGTGTTGCTATTCCAGAAGACTCTAAAGAGATTGAGATTACAAAGTCATTTGAAGGAATTTGGATTGAGTACTTTTGACTTAGCACCGCTGCCCCTTTAAAAAAATTTTCAGGGGGCTGGAGAGATGGCTCAGTGGTTAAGAGCATTGCCTGCTCTTCCAAAGGTCCTGAGTTCAATTCCCAGCAACCACATGGTGGCTCACAACCATCTGTAATGAGGTCTGGTGCCTTCTTCTGGCCTGCAGGCATACATGTAGACAAAATATTGTATACATAATAAATAAATAAATAAATAAATAAATAAATAAATATTTAAAAAATTTTTTCAGCCAAACTGTGATAACCCAAAGACACTACTTTTGTACAAAGAAAATGTTCATATTGCTTAGAGACAACAAAACTTACATTATGAAATATAGAGTATTTATAAATTTTACTAGATATGGACACATTTAGTTTATGTTGACCAAGAAGTAATTGCGCCTTGGGATAGGATAGAGAGGGCTGTATGTGGAAGGGCTTTTTTCTGCAGTGGCTTTACCATTCACACTGAAGACCTGTTATCTGGAAAAATGGGAGTCAGTAGTTGGCCCACAGGCTTCCTTAGCAATCATATTTTTCTTTGCTTATCCCCAGTCATTCTTATCCACACATGGCAATACATACTCATCATCCCAGCACTTGGTTAGCTTAGGCAGATGGTCTCCAGCTTGTAGCCAGGTTGTACTGCACTCACAGCAAGACCTTCCTTAAAGAGCAAACACCAACCAACTAACTTCTAGTTTTTTCTTGTATCCAGGCAATTGCTAGAATATAAACAAGGCTTAAATAGCTATTCTAAATGATTCATGTGCATGTTTGTCTATAGATTTGTTAAGTAAGAGGCTAAAAATATGTGTAGCATCATAATAGCAGTTGGTGATCCTTTACTTTTGAACAATTATAGATCCTTTTGTGCATAAGCTGATGCCTAAGAAACGCTGTCTGAGCTTAGCTGTGCTCTCTTGTAGACTCTGCTGTCTTTCCTGCTGCCTGGTCACACTAGACTAAGAAACCAGATAACCGAGGTCTTGGATCTGGAACTGATAAAACAGGAAGCAGAGAATGGGGCCCTAGACATTTCCAAGCTGGCAGAATTCATTATTGGCATGATGGGAACATTGTGTGCACCTGCTCGAGATGAGGAAGTGAAGAAACTAAAGGACATTAAGGAAATAGTGCCTCTTTTCAGGTATGGAAATATCCATCACAGAACACCTTGTTGAAAACCTATTTGCAGATTTACACTTCAAGTCTAGGGACTTGGTCATTTCAAAAATGTTTCTAAAACAAACATCTAAAACCCAGGAATGTAGAAATCCTGCCACTCACAGCCACTGCTTTTCTAGTACTAAGGGACTAACGTCGGGAGATCTGTTTGGTTGGTTGGTTGTTTTGTTTTGTTTGAGACAGGGTTTCTCTGTGTAGCTTTGGTGCCTGTACTGGAACTAGCTCTTATAGAGCAGCCTGGCCTCGAATTCACAGAGATCCACCTGCCTCTGCATCCTGAGTGCTGGGATTAAAGGCGTGCACCACCACCACTTGGTTGTTTTTGTGTTTTTCAAGAAAGGCTTACTCTGTGTAGCCCTGGCTATCCTGAAACTAGCTGTGTAGACCAGGCTGGTCTTGAACTCACAGAGCTCTGCCTGCCTCTGCCTCCTGAGTTCTGGGATTAAAGATGTGCACCACCACCACCTGGATTTTTTTTTTAAAGATTTACTTATTATACATACAGCAGATCTCATTATAGATGATGGTGAGCCACCATGTGGTTGCTGGGAATTGAACTCAGGACCTTTGGAAAAGAGCCAGTGCTTTTGACCTCTGAGCCTTCTCTCCAGCCCCCGGTTTTTGAAAGCACTGTATGAACATGTTTGGGATTACTGTAAGTCAGCAGTTGCACATGGGCAGGTTTCTGATGGTTTTTGCTTCCCTGTGGGTGGCCTTAAGAGTCTGATTGGAGTGTTTCCAGTAGAGATGACATGCCTCTCAGGACAAGTGGACTGGTATGGATTTGTGAGCTGAAGGGGGACTCCAAATGCATCCTTTCCTGCACATGAGCCTGGAGAGGAAGGCTGTGCTTCTGAAGGGCGGTGGACCTGGAGCACATTTGATCCTAGTCCTGCTTCTGTGCAGGGCCACATCTGCATGTGAGCCTTGGGGTTTTTTGTTTTGTTTGTTTTGCAGCAGGATTTCTCTGTGTAGTCCTGGAACTTGTCTTGTTGATCAGTCTGGCCTCAAACTTACAGAGATCCAAGTGCTTCTCCTTCCTGAGTGCTAGGATTAATTAAAGTTGTGCACCACCATACCCAGCAAGCCTTTTTTTTTTTTTTTTTTTTTTTTTTGCTTCTTGTTATTTTGATATGCATTGGTGTTTTGCCAGCATGAGGGTATCAGATCCCTGGACTGGAGTTAAAGACAGCTGTGAGCTTCCATGTAGGTGCTGGGATTTGAACCTGGAAGAACAGCCAGAGCTCTTAACTGCTGAGCCATCTCTCCAGCCCCTGAGCCTTGGGTTCTTGACTGTCTCCTGAGCTGGGCACTTAGCTATCCGAGCTGGGCACTTAGCTATCTTTAGTCATGGTGTAGGTCAGGCAGAATGGAAGGCGTTCTCAGAAGCAGGTCAGGAGTTTGTCCTTTGGGTACAGAGTGAATTGGCAATTATACCACTGAACTAGAGCATAAAATACCTCTTAAAACACAGAAACTGGGGAAAGAGGAAGGAAGAAAGGAGAAAGTTAATTTTTGTTCTTTTGTTCAGGGTCTCTCTATGTAGTTTTGGCTTTTCTGGACCAGGTTGGCCTCAAATTTACTGAGACCCTCCTGCCTCTGCTTCAGAGGGCTGGGATTAAAGGTGTGCGCCACCTCACCTGGCTAATTTTCATTCTCTGCTTAGAAAATGAATCGATCTGTGTAAGCACGAGTACCAAGGAGCTTCAGCTCAGGTTAAGATCCCTGTATTTCCTCAGGCCTCCAGGAGCCAAGGAACCTGCTCTGGGCCGGAAAGGCAGCATCAAGTGTGACGATCAGAGGGAGAGGGAAAGGGAGTTAAAAGCACCTTAAATTTTTGCAGCTTTTTGTTTTGTTTTTGAGATAGGATTTCTCTATGTATCCCTAGCTGTCCTGGAACTTGCTGTGTAGACCAGGCTGGCTCGAACTCACAGAGATCGTCTGCCTCTCCCTCTGGAGCCCTGGGATTAATGGTGTGTGCCACCACTGCCAGGCAAATTTTACTCTTTCAAGCCATTAGTTATGTGTTTGTTTTCCAAATTTGTATTACTTTTTAGAAAGGATTGTTATCTTCTTAAAATTATACTTATGCCTGTCGAGGGAATTCGCACGTGAGTGCAGATACCTGAGGAGGTCAGAAAGCTCCCAACATACGTGCTGGGATATGAACTAAGGTCCCGCTCTAGTGATTCTAGCTGTGTCAAGTTGACATAAACTAGCCAGCACAGCTGACCCGTGGTCAGCTTGACACACAAACATTATTTTCCAATTTGAACCTTTCTTTCTTCTCTATCCTCAATATAGCACAATAATATTAACATTACAATATAAAATGTAATCACTTTAAAAGTCCCATGGTCTTTACAAATTCAAACGCCTTCAGAGTTCAGTTTCATCAGCTAAGCAGTGATGGGTGATGCACTCCTTTGATCTTAGCACTCGGGAGGCAGAACCATGTGGATTTCTGTGAGTTCGAGGCCAGCCTGGTCTACAGAGTGAGTTCTAGGACAGCCAGGGCTACATAGAGAAACCCTTTCATAAAAACAAAGCAAGCAGGGCTGGAGAGATGGCTCAGCGGTTAAGAGCACTGACTGCTCTTCCAAAGGTCCTGAGTTCAATTCCCAGCAACCACATGGTGGCTCACAACCATCTGTAATGAGGTCTGGTGCCCTCTTCTGGCCTGCAGGCATACACACAGACAGAATATTGTGTACATAATAAATAATAAAATATTTAAAAAAAAGAGTAAGTTTCCAAGTTATGTTGCCTGTAGGATAAGCAGGGAAAAACCTGGAAGAGATAGGGTAGTAGAGAATAAAGAATTAATTGATTAAGCCTTGGCTGGTGAGNTCTTAGCCATTTACATGGATAGCCATATCTTTGTTTCTGTGAGCCAGGCATTTTGGAACTCGCTTTATAGACCAGGCTGGCCTCTAACTCACAGAGATCCGCCTGCCTCTGCCTCTCAAGTGCTGGGATTAAAGCATCACATGGCTCTTCTGCTGCCCTCTCTGGGATGAAACATGATCTCTTTTCCTTTAAACTCTCTGGGATGAAACATGCATCTCTTTTCCTCTAAACTGTGCTTCTGTCACTACTGCCTGCTTCTAAATCTTCTCATTTTTTTTTCAGGGCAATATTTTCTGTGTTAGACCTAATGAAAGTAGACATGGCCAACTTTGCTATCACTAGCATTAGGCCGCACCTCATGCAGCAGTCTGTCGAGTATGAGAGGAAGAAGTTTCAGGAGGTCTTGGAGAAGCAGCCAAGTAAGTGGAATGCTAGTGGCGCCTTCCATTGTTGGCTTGGTGTCATGTTAGCTGCTGTGGCTTCTCATGACTGAGCTGGACAGTGGCATACATAGGCCTTTGAAAGTTCCTGACTTCATAAGCCTCTCAGTAATCCAAATCAGACCAAATCAAACCCAATTAGAAAAAACCCAGGTTGAATCGATAGCAATGCTTTCCAACCCCCCAGAGAGGAGGCAGAAAAGGAAGACTGGAAACCACATTTGTTCTCTGCAGGAGTGGTCTTGAGCACTTCTGGGGAGGGGTCATCGTTTGGCAGGCTTTCTCGGAGGCGTGGACTTGGGATGGAGCTTCCACCCGAACATTCCAGGTTTCTTAATTCAGTGGCCCCAAAAGTTAGTTCCTGCAGCCTCAGGTGGATGCTTGGGGTCAGGTGTGGAGAGAGAGAATAGAAGTAGTGGAAGGAGGTTGACACACCATTGTCTCTCTGGAGGCACCTGGGGACACGGTCCATAGGCTGGAGCATGCTGGAGTCATGCCCCAGGAGCTCAGGTGCACTGAATTACTGAACAGGAGCCTGCATAGACCTCTCCCTGGTCATCAGAGTCTAGTACTTGTCCACCGAGGTTTCCAAAGCCTGGAGCCACAGAGAAAGGCTGTCTCTAGAAGACTAAAGGCAGGGTGAGGCTCCATGGCTCAGCAGTCAGGACCAAAGCTACTTGCAGGGCATCTTGTACCTGGGAAGAACTGACAGCTTCTGTAGCCCCAGCCGCCTGTGTGCTCTGAAGGAGGCCTCCACCAGGGGTGCCGCTCTCCCAAGAGGCACTTTTTACTCCGAACTGTGTTCTTATGGGGGACCTGCTGTGTTACTCGGCTAAAGAAAGCCCCGGAAGCCGGGTGGTGGCGCACACCTTTAATCCCAGCACTCGGGAGACAGGCAGGCGGATCTCTGAGAGTTCGAGGCCAGCCTGGTCTACAAGAGCTAGTTCCGGGACGGGCACCAAAGCTACAGAGAAACCCTGTCTCGAAAAACCAAAAAAAAAAAAAAAAAAGGCAAGCAAGCAAGCAAGCCCCGGAGACCACTGAGGGCCCCACTGGCCGTGCTCCCCATGCGGTGAGTTACACAGCAGACACCACCAGGCTGTGAGCAATCCTGACTGATACAGCCGTCAGTGCAAGTGTACACAGGGGCTCCAGCTGGTGTCTTGTCCTGTTTGTCTGGGGACCATCCCTCAGAGCTGCAGTCATCTGATGCAGTGATAAGAACGAGAGAAGACAGGAAGGAGGAAGGGGCAGACCTGGCTCTTGAGCTCCACCAGCCTGTGAAGCCGGTGTCATGCTTGTCGTGTTGTGGTTTCTCAGTACAGGGTTTCTCTGTGTAACAGGCTGGCCTCATAGTCACAGAGATCTGCCTGCCTACCTGCCTGCCTCAGCCTCCTGAGTGCTGGGGTTAAAGGCGTGCGCCACCCCCTTCTATTCAGAGAGACTTGTCTGAGGTCGTGAAGCTAGTGCTGAGCATTGCTGTGATCTGGATTGAGTTCTGTGGGTTCCAAAGTTCATTCTCAATCCTGAGTTTCACTGTCGGGCTGCTCTTTCTTAAGGTAATTCCAAGAAGTGCCCTTGCAAGTGTCAGAGTGATGAACACAGCCCTGTTTTCCACAGACTCCCTGGACTTTGTCACCCAGTGGCTGGAGGAGGCCTCAAATGACCTTCTGACTCAGAAGTACAAACATGCCCTGCCGGCTGGGGGAGGGGCTGCTGGCTCAGGGGATGCTCCAGTGCTGACCCCTGTTTCTGTCCAGAATTATGCCTACCTGAAGCTGCTGAAATGGGACCACTTCCGGAGACCTTTCCCCGAGGTAGGTGCTGCTAGCACTTAACCGTTCAGACTTTGTCTCACACAGCGCAGCTTTTCTGAAAGAATCATGGTATTCTGATATAAGCCACAGACCAAAACGTCCTCTTTTCATTTGGAATTGTAATAACGTCTTTATGAATGTTTCCGTGTACAATGGGTTTCATTGTGACGTTCTCGTATATATTACTGCACTTTGCTCACATTCATCTCTATTACCATCTCTCTCTCTCTCTCCTGCTTGCCCCCTTTCTTTCCCTGTAATCCTCCTGCTGTGTGTATTTGTATCTGTGTGCACATGAGAAAACTTGCAATATGGTCTCTTCCTCTTCCCCCTTTATTCTCTCTTGTTTCCCTCACTACCCCCACTTCTCTCTCCATGGCAGGGTCTCTCTCTGTGTACCCTTAGCTGTCCTGGAACTTGCTCTGTAAACCAGGCTGGGCTCGAACTCTCAGAATCTGCCTGTCTCTGCCTCCTAGTGCTGATATCAAAGATTACGTACCATGCCCAGCTTTCTCTCTCCTTTTAAGTTCCTTCTTCCTTCAACACACACACACCTCAGTGTAGATCATGCCTATGAGAGAGAAGAGTGGTTACTTCTGAGTCTCTCTCTCCACACACACAGAGGTTCTTACTATGTGGCACTGGGTGGCCTGGAATTCACTGCAGTCCAGTGGCTTTGGACTCACAGAGATTCCCCTGCTGATGCTTCCTGAATGCTGAGATTACAGGTGTGCGTCACATGCCAGGCTGATTTGATTTTTCTTTATGGCTGAATGAAATGTCCTTGTGTATGTGAAACACATTTTCATCCCCTCCGCTGCTGATGGACATCTAGGCTGGCTCCATATTTGGTTGTTGTGAGTGACGCTACAATGACCGTGGATCTAATCCCCCCCTTAGTTTATGGAGCTCAGTGGCTTCTGGTGTGTTTCAGGCTCAGGCAGTGCTACCTTTGCAGGCATTGGCAATCAGCATACTTTTCTCCTCCTTCCAGTTCTGCTTTGGTCTCTGTACTTGTCTGCTCTGATATTCCTATAAATGCAGTGTTCAGCTTGGGCCTTTTGTGTCTGGCTTCTCTGGGGAACATAATGGAGACACTTGATGGCATGGATCAGTACTTAATCATTTTATTTTTCATTGTATGAAGAATTACTTGTTCTTACATTTGTTTGTGCTGTTGTGGGAGGTGTGTGGAGTGTGTGGTCAAAGAACAGCTTTCAGAAATTGTTCTCTTCTTCCACCATTGCCTTGTGGGCTCAAACTTAGTACCTTTACCTGCTGAGCCATCCTGAAGGCCCCCTTGTGCTTTTATACCATGTTTACCATTTCTTTCTTTCTTTTGGTTTTTCAAGACAGGGTTTCTCTGATAGCCCTGGAGCAAACTCTATAGACCAGGCTGGCCTTGAACTCACAGAGGTCTGTCTGCCTCTGCCTCCCAAGTGCTGGGTGGGATTAAAGGTGTGCGCCACTACACCTGGCTCACCATTTTTTTTTTTTTTTACCATTTCTGAGTATACAGTTGAGTGGCAATTAAAAGCACACACCATTGTGCAAACATTGTCATTGCAGAATGTTTCCATCCCCACAGACGATGAGACTACCCATCAGTCAATGTGTGGGTTTGGATGAAAATGACCCCCATAGGTTCATATGTTTTATGAACTGTTTGGAAAGGATTAGAAGGTATAGCTTTGTTTGAGGAGGTATGTCACAGGGAAGTGAGCTTTGAGGTTGCTTTTTTTTATTTTAAGATTTATTATTTCATAATTATGTGTACCTGTGTCTGTGTGGGTTTATGCATGTGAGTGCAATACCCACAGAGGTAAAAAGAGAGCATTCCATCCCCTGGACCTAGAGTTATAGGCGGTTGTGAGCCACCATGTGGGTGATGGGAATCAAACCCAAGTCAAAAGCAGCCAATTCTCTTAATCACTGAGTGCAGTTAGACCTTTTCATCAAGACCATTGACTCCCCAATAATGACATGCAGACTTATTAATTATGAAAGTTCAGCCAATAACTTAGACTTGTTTTAGCTAGCTCACATAACTTAGATTAACCCATTTCTGGTAATTTACTTTCTGCCTTGTGATTTCATTACCTCATCTCTGTATTTTCCATCCTGCTTGTTCTGTATCTCCTGGTGTCTCTCTCCTTCTTTCATGCATCCTCTGTGCCTAGAAATCTCACCAAGCTATTGACTGGTCAGCTTTTTATTAACCAGTCAGAGTGACATCTTCACAGTGTGCAAAAAGACTATTCTACAACATTTCCCCTTTTTTGTCTAAACAAAAAAAGAAAGATTTTAACTATAATATAGTAAAATTATATACAGTAACAACAATTATCAAGTAAGAATTACATCCATAGTGTCCAGTCCATTTGCATTCTGCAGACTTGGAGAAAGCACTGTATCTATCATCTATCCTATGTTAGTCTAAAGTTTTAATCCTAAACCATTTTTTGTCATAACTTGTATTACTGTCCTAAAAATATCTTTTTAGATCTTAAAACATCTTTCTATATAAAGAACTTAAACTTTTATTTTTTTACCTTTATAAATTTCTGTTATGTAAGATTGTTTGTTTTGAATTTAGTAACAAAGGAAACTGTAATTATATAACTATCTTGTCTTCAATTCCAGAGATGTGAGAAGGATAAAATACTACTTGAGTAAACAGGAAGTGCAGAGCAAACAACTTCTAAAACTATAGAAATGACAGAGACATCTGATTGCCTGGACAGTCACCCAAGGTTCCTCTGTAATGTTGGGGCATCCATCTTTGGCCTATGGGCCTAGACTATCTGACAAACTTCTCTGTGAAGCAGGAATTTTGAAGGACTGTAGTGTCTTGTCTTGACAAAGTTCAGCAGTTGCTTTCTTTTGTTTCCTGCTCATCCAATTGGGAGAGAATACTGTCAGAAGTCAAGGCAAGGATAGTATTTTGCGCAGTGACTAACTTTTGCCACAAAGAAAGCAAACTCCATATGGAGATTCTTCAGTGCCCATCATCTCCGAAGTAGATTGGTGCTACCAGGAGCAGATGTGTCTCACTGTCGTGAAAAGCCTTATTTTATTAAAACATATTAAATATCTTAAATGCCATATCCTGTAGATCTCTGAAGTGTTTGAAGACCACCTGTCTATCTAAAATATATGTGTTTGACCTTAAAAACATATCTAACATGACAACAAGTTTGATTGTTATTGGTGACTAACTACTAACCTGCATTTTTTATTATCTTAAATAATTTGTAGTAATAACTTTCTTTTTTTTTTTTTTTTTTTACAGGGTTTCTCTGTGGTTTTGGAGCCTGTCCTGGAACTAGCTCTGTAGACCAGGCTGGTCTCGAACTCACAGAGATCCACCTGCCTCTGCCTCCCAAGTGCTGGGATTAAAGGCGTGCGCCACCATCGCCCGGCTAGTAATAACTTTCAATGTCTAGGAATTTACATTACATTGTTAAATGAGCTCCTTAGGTACAATACCTTAGACAACAGTAGAAATATAGCTGGGTGGTGGTAGCCTTTAATCCCAGCACTCAGGAGGCAGAAGCAGGTGGATCTTTGTGAGTTCGAGGCCAGCCCAGTCTATAGGAGCTATACCAGGACAGGCTCCAAAGAGACAGATAATTTCTGTCTTGAACAACAAACAAACAAACCAAAAAAAAAAAAAAAAAACACGGTAGAAATGTTTGTTTAGTATTTGTAACACCAGGTTTTGGTGTTACACCCTCGATACTGTACCAAATGCGAGTAGGGCAAGGCCTGGAGATTAAACAGAAGACACAGAGAGACCAGGGTCATTCAGATCAGGTGAATGCCAGTTCACCAGCATTGGGGGAGTCTTTATCTAGCTATCTGCAGCACTAGGACCCCTGCCCAGGCAGGTGGGAAATTACCATATCAATAATGGAGTGAATGCCCTACAGCTAATCACCAGGCCGGGCAGGGGAAATACAGGAACCAGCAGAATGCTTAACCAGGCGGCAGGGGAAATACAGGAACTAACAGAATGCTAGTCATCTGACTAGAAACTGTATGCGCCCCAGGAATAAGGGCTGAATGCTTGGTCATGTTGACCAGAAATTGTCCTCGAGATGCGCCCCAGGAATAAGGGCAGACCAGGGCCCTACAAGTATTTTCTAACAACAATGACCTTAAATTTGTATCAGTATACCAAAATATCTTAAACAAGAGTAGAAACATAAATACAAAACATATAACAAAAATAACCTTAGATTTGTATTAATATACAAAATTCATACTACAGTAAAATATTTAAGACTAGTAGTTGCTTTTTTAGTTTAAAAGTAGATTCATTAATCCACCCTTTTATCCTGTCAGTTCTGTATTCCCCTTTTTCTTTTCAGAATGAAATCCCTGAATCTAATCTTCAGTTTTTTTTCTGATCATGACCAATAACAACTTGTACCAACCCCCTTAAAATGATGATGAACATCCATAACCAACAGAATGGCCAAAAACCCCAACCCATCTCTTGGGAATGTGGGCATCATGGTTTTTAGACTGCTGCCTACTGTCTAGGGGTTCTGGAATCTTTGGGGGACCCTGAGTGTATTTGATTGGCCGATATCTGTGCAAATCTGAATATAATCTACACTGTTACCCTGCTTTTTAAAATGTCTTAGAGCCACTTTATATACAGCCTTAGTGTTTTTAAAGGCTAGCTGTTTATTAACTGTCCTGCTTCTGTGTCTCCAGTTAACCTATTAGATGTCTGTGTTAGTCTGGAGACAAAGTTTTGAAATAATTTAATTGGTCCTTGTCTTATATTAGACAATTTCTCAGCCTGGCTGTTAGAAGATGGAAGCCTATTTTAGGCTTTTTTGGCAGTTGTATTAATTTGGACATATGTTGCCGTATTAAAGTCTGTTGATTTGCCCCTGTATGAGGTCCCTCACCTGCAAGCATTTCATATGAAATAGAAACTTGTTGAGCCCTGTTTCTCTCAGCTGTGGCCTGACATTGTTTTGCAAATTTGGTTTTTTACAATAGATAGGGTTTTTCTGACAGACAAGCTTTGGCTATCTGCATTTAATCCCCTGGGGGCAGAGCTTTTATTGCTCTATTTTTAAAATAGCACCTGAGTGTATGGAGCCCTTGGACCGCACTGAGCACAAGCAGTTTTTAATTTTTTGAGTAACTTAAATGATATGGGAGTATGTATCCTAAGCAGATTTTTTTGAGCTTCTCTTTGCTCTATTACAGGACATAATTGAAATCCTTGCATTTCTCACCCTCTATTAGCAGCTTCTCTGATACAAGCGTGTAAAGGAGAGCTCTTTTCTAATGTTGGGTGTCTGCCTCGCCTTTGGAGCTCCTTGTACCATAGGCAGATCTAAGCCAGCTATGACAGTAGGAAGAGAATTACCCTTCTGGTAAGAGTCGCGGATCCACGACTGAGGTCACCACCTCTTTTAAGCCTTTCAGCTCCTTTTGGATTTTATCACCACGTCCCTGTCTCTCAGCATTGCTGGTTATTAACAAGAGAGGTGAAGACTCCTCTTTATAGTTCTCTCGGTCATTAGGCTCTGACTGATTGTAACCACTCAGTTTCATAAATTCATCTAGCAACTCCCCAGTGGCATGGAGGGTATTGTCTCCCTTCTAACTGGCTCAGACGGAAATATCTCCTGCTGTTTGGGATTTAAGTCCAACCTTTTCTGGCTTAGCATCCAGAAACGAAGCATTTCTGCAGATACACTTCCTGATTCATAATTGTAATAACGTTGTTGAATCTTTATCCCGACTTCCTTCCATGTTGCAGCATCTAAAGTCCTGTGCTCGGAAAACCGAGGGCATAGCTGCTCTGTACATTTAAATAATTTTTGTATCTGATGCTGCTATACTCAGGCTCCCTTGTCCTTTAATATAGCTCCAATCAGTTGTATAACCATTTGATTCTTCTTCCTTGTCCCATATATTTATTATGTACAAATTTTTACTTCAGACTTTTATTTCCTGCTTCTCTCTCTTTTAAAATTTTACTACTTATTTTTTAATATTTATTTATTTATTATGTATACAACATTCTGTCTGTGTGTATGCCTGCAGGCCAGAAGAGGGCACCAGACCCCATTACAGATGGTTGTGAGCCACCACATGGTTGCTGGGAATTGAACTCAGGACCTCTGGAAGAGCAGGCAGTGCTCTTAACCTCTGAGCCATCTCTCCAGCCCCCTGCTACTTATTTTTGAACACTCATTAGTCACCGATCCACCTGTGGTGTAACTATCTTGCGGTTTCCTCATGCTCTCCTCCATACGTCTGGTCACTCTTCCATAGTTTTCAGTGGTCACCTATCAGCCCCATGTTGGGCACCATTATGTCAGGGACCAGCCCAGACATAAATTATCTCTCATACCAGAGTGGAGGAAATAAATGAAGACACAATTTACACAACAGTATCGGGAGGGAGTTTTAGTGATCATTTAAATTTTGAAATCACCCGCGTTTATTTTCCAAGCATCTTTAATATCAAGGTAAACTGGGGGGGGGGGGCAGGTAACACAAACGTTATTAGCGTTGTTTCCTAGGTAGCAGGGGATGACTGAGGTCACGTCTGTACCTATTTTGTCGTGTCTATGCCTATTGTCATGTGGACTGAAAACAGCTCTTTCCCAGGCAGCCTCCTAACTTAGAACAGAAGGAGCACGTCAGTATCGCTCTGTGTGCACTGCGTTTCCTTCTCAGACAAGCGCTGTGACTGTTTCCACTCTGGCTGTTGTGCACGCTGCTTCTTTCCACACTGCATCTTGTGCACACTGTGGCCGGACCCAGGGCCTTCTGAGTACTTGTAGCTGCAGCAGTCATGCCAGGGGGTGAGTGGTGAGGGAGTCTCCGTTTTTCTGGTGTGTGGCTTCCGCAGTCTTCTTTGAAGCTCCTGTTCCTATTTCTAGCTTCAGCTCCTGCAGCTTCTATAAATCTTTCCTTCAGAAGCTGCCAGCTTTCCTCTTGCCTCTGGTTGCCCTGCGGTACGTGAGAGGCCCTCAAGGTGCTGCTGGCTTGTTGGGAAGCATGGCTCTAGGAGCGGCAGGAAAGCTTCTGGTGGTTTTCCCTGGGACTGCTTCTGTTCTTGGCATTTAGTCGTGGAGAGCTTTTGCATCCTTAAGTCAGGTCCTGCCAAAGTCAAGTGGTATCACGGTCACAGTCACGTTAGCAGTGAGACAGAAAGAGGCCGCTGGAAAGTCTGTTATAGCAAAGCTGTTCATGACAGAGGCCTTGCGGTCTTCAGAGATTGTTTATCTTCTAAGAAGTTTGGGCTCTGACTCCATTTTGTTTTGTTTTTGTTTTCAACACTGCAGCCTAGGCTAGCCCCAAACTCCTGACTCAGCCTTCCCAATGCCAGGGTTACAAGCATAGTCCACTCCATCTGGTTTGACCCTAAATTGCTAATATATTGGATTAGCTTCTTACAGCAAAGCAGGTTTCTAAAGCTTGCTTGATTAGCCTGTAAAACTCAGATCTAAGGCAGGTGTGGGTGGTGCACATTTTTAATCCCAGGCTTTGGAGGCTGAGGCAGGTGGATCTCTGTGCATCCAGAGCCAGCCTGGTCTACAAAGTAAGCTTCAGGACAGCCAGAGCTACATGGTGAGATCCTGTCTCCATACACCCCTAATCCTCCAAAAGAAAAGAAAACAATCAAAAACCTCTTAGCTGAATCAATCAACATCCACTTAGCCTTCCTGCTGCTCTTCTCTCAGTCCTCGCCGTCTCCAGTAGTTGGGATCTGGGCTCTTTAACTGTGGTGTCTCTGGCAGGAAAAGACTGTTCTTTAATGCCAGAGGCAGTCCACCTTCAGGGGCGGTGAGTGGCCCTCAGCTCTGCTCACTGTCATTTTTTATTGTTTTCTTTATCTCCCTAACTGAGGTGCTTGTTGTTATTGTTTGTGGTCCCAAGACAGGGTCTCTCTTCACAGATGCTGGCCTTCGACTCAGCAATTCTCCTGACTCAGCCTTCTGAGTGTGTTTGTGGGGGCGGAGGGTGGAGTTCAGAGGCGGAGCCACCGTGCCCAGTTTGCCCAGTGAGAGTCTCCTTTGTGCTGTGTGTACTAAGGCTCTGCTTCAAGGAACTCTTCCCTTTTATCGGCACAGGGACTTCCTGGTTTGTGGGGACAAAGATAGGGTCACAGGATTTGGATGTTTCCCTTTCAAATCTGGGACCATCGGTCCGGACACGTGGGCCGGTATTGGCCACTCTAGCTCCATCTCACCCTTCCCTTCCTACCACTGGACCTTCTACTGAAATTGTGGCTCTCAGCCACGCCCCTGCCGGTCGGGTTTCTTCTTTCAAGGAGTTGTATAAAGAGAACCCCATTTTTGCATAGCCTCAGAGAGTAAAGGAAGCTTACCTGAGGTCACACTGCTGTGAAGGAGTAGTCAGGATTTGTCTCCAGGCCTGCCTGAGCTTATGCTTAGAGCTCTGCCATCCCCGAAAGGAATGCCGGGGGGGGGGGGGGGGGGGGGGGGGGGGGGGGGGGGGGGGGGGGGGCACCACAGAGCAGGCGGAGGCGTGGCGCCACTGCCGTCTGCTGGCCAGCGTGAGTCTCTGCTCGGCAGTAACGTGTGTGTTCATTGCAGACCCTTTTGATGGACCAGTCTCGTTTCCAAGAGCTCCAACTGCAGCTGGAGCAGCTGGCCGTCCTGGGAGCGGTGTTGCTCGTCACATTCAGCACCGCTGCACCTGGAATCTCTGGCCACGCTGACTTTGCTGAGAAACTCAAGATGACGGTGAAGATTCTGCTAATGGACATGCATCTGCCGTAAGTGACTGGGACCCTACACTGGATGGAATTGTAGTGCACCATGGGAGTTTCCCAGTGCAAGGCCTTGAGGAGCTTAGAAAATGTTCTGCCTACCTGCAGTTCAGTCATGGCTGTCATGCCCCAAGTTTCAGGGAACAGTAGGTTTAACAAGACTCTTAGGGATTGTGGTTCTAGATGTCTGTGCTCAGGACCCACAGTGAGTAATTCAGTTTCCGAGTCCTGTACACCCTCACACACGGAATTGAGTAGCTGTCTCCCAAGGTGGAGCTTACCCTGTGTTAGCCTCTTTCTTTCTAACCTAGTCTTATTTACCAAACAATAAACAAAATACCCCACCGACTTCCACCCACTGAATTGCTTTTACTACCAACTTGTAGTGAAAACCACAGCCTTACAAAACCAGTGTAACCTATGCCTCGGCCCCAGGACAGCCAGTTGGTCCAGTGTGGCTCTTGGGAGAGAAAGATCACAGAAGAAACAAACTTTACCCTCCAGGGCACACCCATAACCTGATCTCCCTGCCCTTTGCACACACCTCCTAGGAGTCTTGTGCCCGCCATGAGAATGTGTCATTTGATCATGTCTCAAACTTCACATTGTAAAATATCTAGGAGGTGCTCCCTGAACATAGCCAGACGTGATTCCCATGATTCACAGCACAGACCTAGCTTTGAATACTTCCAGAAAGCCCTGGGTTTGAGAAGGCTTCATGCAGAGACTCTAAGAGGCTCTTTGGCTCTCTGAGTCAGGGTTCTACTGCTGTGAAGAGACACGACTCTTACAAAGAAAAACATACAGTTCAGAGGTTCTGTCCCCTGTCATCATGGGAGGTGTGGGGTAGCATGATAGCACGTAAGCAGACGTGGTGCTGGAGAAAGCCAGGAGTTCTACATCTAGATCCACAGGCAGCAGGAAGAGAGGAGCTACTGGTTTTGTTTTTGTTCTTTGTTTTTTTTTTTTTTCGAGGCAGGGTTTCTCTGTAGCTTTGGAGCCTGTCCTGGAACTAGCTCTTGTAACCCAGGCTGTCCTCGAACTCACAGAGATCCACATGCCTCTGCCTCCCGAGTGCTGGGATTGAAGTTATGAGTCGCACTGGCTCATCCTTACAAAAGGAAGGATTGTACTACTGAGTTTGTACAGTGTGTAGGTGTGGTCAGTGCCCCGTGGGCCATGTTCAGATGTCGTGACAGGTGGGACAGGTGGTTGACTCAGCCAAGGACACTGCTGAACTGAGGCCTAAGCTGAGGCTGTCCCCAGGTTCAGCCTTTGCTGTCCCCTCCATTTCCTGCCAGAGCAGATTCCTTGGGAGCACTGGCTGCTCAGGCTGTACGGAGCAGCAGCAGCAGCGAGTCCTGGGCCTGCCCCCTACTTCCAGAAGTCCAGAGACTGCTGCTCTGCAACCGCAGACAGCTGAGAGCCCACAGCTGGGAAGAGAACACCCCCAGGGGCAGCAGCAGGAGCCTGTCCTGTCTCACAGCTCCTCCAAGGAGACAAGGATGTTTGTTTTTCTCTTCTGGATTGTTTTTTCTTTTTTTTTTTTTTTTTTGTTAAGATTTTATTTATTTATTATGTATACAACATTCTGTCTCCATGTATGCCTGCATGCCAGAAGAGGGCGCCAGATCTCATTACAGATGGTTGTGAGCCACCATGTGGTTGTTGGGAATTGAACTCAGGACCTCCAGAAGAGCAGGCAGTGCTCTTAACCACTGAGCCATCTCTCCAGCCCCCTGGATTGTTTCTTCTAAAAATGTCTAATGTCAGCTGGTCATGGTGGCGAATACTGTGATCCTGGCACCTAAAAGGTAAAACAAGAGGACCAGGAATTCATGGCTAGCCTTGGCTACCTGTGAGCCTGTCTCAAAAACCAAACCAAAGCAGGTGCAGAGGGTTGGAGATATACAGTTGGCAAAGTGCTTACCATCAATGAGGTTTTGGGCTTGATTTCCATGTGGGAAAAGGAAACCAAGGACTCAATGAAAGGGTTTATCCCTACTCTTGTCCCATAGCTACCAAACTTCTGGTTTCTGTGTGTTCCTTTGAGGTGTTGGAAGATATAAGTCGGTCCAAAGCTTATTTTGTCACATTGGCATGAGCAAGACCCTATGCTCTGAGGCCTGGGGATGTAGCTCTGTTGGTGAGTGCACATCTAACATGTATATGTGTAACATGCATGTAGCCCTCATCCCCAGTGCTATAAAACCTGGTGTGGTAGCTCACAGCTGTAATCGCGGCACTTGGGGAGTAAAGGCAGGAGCATCCAAAGTTCAAGGTTATCCTCAGCTATATACCCTGTCAACAGACAGACAAACAAAACCCACCGTGGTATGATTAGCCAGGGATGCACAGTCTAGGAGGTGAAGGCACAGGGAAGAGAGCCACAAGTCCCCACAAAACTCGGTGCTGTCCCTCTTGCCAGGACGGGGCAAGTGACTAGCACTTTGTATCATGAGGCTTTGTTTTCCTGGCTCCCTTTCCCTTCTTTGTTCTAGTTCCTTCCATCTGGAAGATGCTCTGACGTCCATTGGGGAGAAAGTGTGCCTGGAGGTGAGAAGCTGCCTCTCCCTATGTGGATCCTCTCCATTCTCCACCAATAAGGAGACTGTGCTCAAGGGCCAGGTTCAGGCCCTGGTCAGTCCTGATGACCCAATTCGCAGGATCGTGGGTACGTTTGGGGGACAGTCACTCGGAGGGTGTCTTAGTTCCTTTCTATTGATGTGATGAATACCATGACCAAAAGCCTCTTGGGGAAGAAGAGGATTTAGTTTATCTTAGAATTGTCAGATCCCACTCCATCACTGAGGGAAGGCAGGACAGAAACTCGGGGCAGGGACTTAGAGGCAGGAACTAAAACAAGAGCCATGGAGGAATGCTGTTTACTGGCTTGTGCTACATGGCTTGCTCAGCCTGTTTTCTTATACAGCCAAAGACTACCTCTCAGAGAGGCAGCAACCACAGTTTTCTGGGGTATCCATGTTAATCATTAACCGAGAAATGGCCAGGGTTGATGGTGCACCTTTAATCCTAGCACTGGGGAGCAGAGGCATGTGGTCTGAGTTTGAGGCTAGCTTCATACAGAGAGCCCCAGGACATCCAGGACTGCACTGAGAAACCCCGTCTTGAGGAGAGAAAGAGAGACAGAGACAGAGGCACACACAGAAGGAAGCAGTGCTGAGCTGAAGACAGCGGGAGTTAGTGGGGCAGGACTCATCCCTCTATCCTTTCTCTTCCTCCTCTTTCCTTCTGACCTTCTCGGCTATGGAAATTGAGCCCAGGGTCATGCACTCTACCATGGGGCTGCAAGGTCTTGATGGGATAATAGATTTATAATTGTGAGTTACTGTTTTTAGACAAATATATTGATATCGATTCTTGTATATTGATACAAAGTTAAATTATATTGACTATTGTATGCATGCATGTTTCTACCTCTGTTTAAAATATTTTTTATGTATTGACATATATTGTATTGATATATATATTGTATATATTTACCATATTGCAGTGTACATTTCTACCTCTGATTAAGATACTTATATAATGTTTGTGTATTGATATATTTACCATATTGCAATGTATATTTGTACATTGTTTATATTTGGAGGTCATTATCCTCATTTGTTACACAGTCGTTTATTGTCTTAGTCTTTAAGTTAGATAGATATTGAGAATTATATAGATTAATAGTCATCTAAGTTTGTCATTTATAATTAGACTAATCAGGTTCTTTAGATATATAGAGATTATACTCAGTATAGATAGATAATCTTCAACCTCTTCAAAGAGCTGTAGAAAATGGCCTTTAATATAACTCAGAGTTTTGTGATAGTGAGACACAATTGCCTCCTTCAGCAAATCCCTGTGTGCTTATGTGTTCTTCCCACTGAAATGCAAAGTTCTGCAGATCTGATCTAGGGGTGACTGGAAAGACCGCCCCTAGGAGGTGACCCCTAGGAGTCAGTTAACTGAAACCTAGTCAGACTTGTCTAACCCCTGATCACTCTTCTTTCCACCACAGAGTCCCGAATTTTGACCTTCTTGGAGACATACCTTGCCTCTGGTCATCAGAAGCTACTGCCTACGGTGCCAGGGGGCTTGGGTCCCATTCAGAAAGAGCTGGAAGAAATTGCAGTGAAATTTGTGCGCCTGGTCAACTATAACAAGATGGTATTCTGTCCTTACTATGACACAATCCTCAGTAAGCTCCTTCTCCGCCCCTGAGGCGCACGGCTGCCGCAGCACCCCCTCATGTCCTCAGAAGCCCGCTGTCGCAGTGCCCTGCTGTGGAGAATGGCATGGGGTACGCTCCTGTGTAACAGCACTGGTTCCGTTAAACACACGAAGACCATAGTGAGTGTGTCGCTGAAGGACTCACGGAAGGGCGCACTGAGCTCTGTTCCGTATTTACAAGTGCAGGTTTACAAACTCAAGAAGCTTTTGTTCTCTTGAGTTTATAGGTAGCGTCTAGCTGTGATCAGTTGACTGCCACTGTCTCTGCTCCTGCTGCATCAGCTTGGAGAAGCCAGCTCTCCAGGGAGCCTGGGACCTCTCTTGTGGGTCATTCCTTCTCAGATAGCCCAGGCTGGCACGTAAGCCATGACTTGTTCCCTTGCCCCCCCTTACAGCATTCCTCCCGGCATTCTTTCCCGGGACCGTTTTTTGGGTTTTTTCCAAGACAAAGTTTCTCCATGTAGCCCTAGCTGTGGAACTAGCTCTGTAGTCCCAGCTGGCCTAAACTCACAGAGATCTGCCTGCCTCTGCCTCTGCCTCCCCAGTGCTGGCATTAAAGGTGTGCACCACTAATGCCTGCCCCTTGTTGGTGTTTTATGACCAGGCTGTCTATAGCCTTACAGTGTCCTGTTCCACCCCTTCCCCACCTCCATCCGTTGCTTCTTAGGTCCGGCCTAGCCAGTGCTCCGAGCCCTTTTGTTCTTCAGCAGAGTTACTTTGATAATATATTTTGTCTAATTTATTATTATTATTTTTGAAACAGCATCTCTCTCTCTCTCACACTGGCCTAGAACTTGCTATGTCGAACAAGCTGACTCCAGACTTGTATGAATCCTCCTGCCTCTACTTCATACATGCCAAGGTTAGAGGCCTTTGCCACCATACCCATTGGATAGAACTTGATTTTTAAAAGCTTGTTTTGTTGATTGGGATGTAGTACAGTGGTTAGTGATTGTCTATTATGCACAAGGCCCTGGGATCCATCTCTTGCATCTGAACAATGAAAGATACACACATACACACACTAGGCATTGAGAAGTCATAAGCCCCTGTAGCTTCAGTTACTTGAAAGGTAGGAAGGGTGTTTTTGCCCAAGTATTATTATTATTATTATTATTATTATTATTATTATTATTATTTGAGACAGGGTTTCTCTGTAGCTTTGGAGCCTATCCTGGCTCTTGTAGACCAGGCTGGCCTCAAACTCACAGAGACCCACCTGCCTCTACCTCCCAAGTGCTGGGATTAAAGGCGTGTGCCACCACCGCCCGACTTAAAGAGTTCATCTTAAAAGAACAAGGATAGGGCCGGGCAGTGGTGGCACATGCCTTTAATCCCAGCTCTTGGGAGGCAGAGGCAAGTGGATTTCTGTGAGTTTGAGGCCAGCCTGGTCTGTAATGTGAGTTCCAGGACAGGCTCCAAAACTACAGAGAAACCCTGTCTCGAAAAACAAAACAAAATAAAAAAACAAACCCAACAACAAAAAGAACAAAGAAGAATACTGTCCCTTTGTCCTTGCTACAGCAGTGCTCCTGAGTCAGAATGGCAGCAGCTGAGGCTTATGGAGCCAGGCATGGTGACATGTGCCTGTAATCTTAGCTCTAGGGAAGCCGAGGCAACAGAACTGCAAACTGAAGGCTAACCTGGACTACATAGGAAAAGCCTCATTCAAAAGCAAGACTTGCTGGGCAGTGGTGGCACATGCCTTTAGTCCCAGGACTCGGGAAGCAGAGGCAGGTGAATATCTGTGAATTTGAGCCATCCTGGTCTACAGAGCAAGTTCCAGGACAGCCAGGCCAGGGCTACAGAGAAACCCTTCTCAAAAAAAAAAAAACCACAACACCGAAAAGATAGATGTATATAGTTTAGTATAACAGGAAGGAGAATAACTGAATAATCCACTGTAATAATCCAGATGAGCTGACAGGATTCTAATCAGAAATTAGATTTAAGTGTTCCGGGTAGAATAGCCCAACCTCACTAATCTAGGGGAGAAAGACAAGTCCCCAGTATTTGAGCAGAATTTAAGGAATTTGAGTGACCAGAATTCCTAACACACCATGTGACCAAGAGAATGCTTCGGATGTGGTTTAGATGATCTGTTAGAAAAAGCCAGGCGGTGGTGCGGTGGTGGCAAACGCCTTTAATCCCAGCACTTGGGAGGCAGAGCCATATGGAACTCTAGGTTTGGGGCCAGCCTGGTCTACAGAGCAAGTTCCAGGACAGCCAGGGTTAAACAGAAACCCTATCTTCGAAAAACAGAATATTTTCTGCACGGCTGGTGTATTTTAGAGAGGAGTGCTGTAGTAGAAGCAGAGCCGTGGCGTTGGAGTGCTCTCCCGCCAGACTCCCTGGACATTCACGCTGACACTCCCCACTGGTGACAGATGCAGAGTGCACAGTGACCCTGGCCGGGGAGCACACCTAACACCCAACACTTCAAGGCAGAGGCCGAGGCTAGCCTGGGTTACATTGCAAGGCTTCACCTGGAAAAGAAGAGGAAAGAATGGCTGAAGTGAGGATGACTTCTTCAAAGATGTGCGACCAGCGGCTCTAGAGCTGGTTTGTTTCCCAGTGAAATAATGTGCAGGGCGTGGGGAGCCACCTTTAATCCAGCACTCCAGAGGCGGAGGGACTTCACAAGTTCAAGGCCAGGCTGCTCTACACAGTGACTTTCCAGGCTGTCAAGGGATGCATAGTGAGACCCTGTCCTAAAAACAAATAAAGTGTGCTATGTTATGTGCTCAGATTGTTGTCGTTGCTTCTGGTACAGGGTTTTCTGTGTGGCCCTGGCTGCCCTAGAACTCCCTCTGTAGACCAGGCTAGCCTTGAACTCAAGAAATTTCCCTCTCTGCCTTGAGGTGCCTGCCAGCACACCTGGCTAGAAAGTCATTTAAGTTTAGCCAGAAGTGTATGCAAACACCTGAAATACCAGAACCTGAGAAGGGGCAGGAGGATTAGGAGTCCAAGGTCAGCATTGGCTGTCAGCATGTTTGACGTTTGACAGCCAATTTGGGCTAAATGAGGCCCTTTCTCAAAGTACCAAAAGAAGACAAACAAAAGTGTTAAGTTTAGGCTTCAGGACAGATTGTCATGAAGAGTCATTAGCTGTAGCCCTGGAGGTATAGATCCGTGGTCAAGAGCTTGATTAGCCTGTTAAAGATTGCATATTTGATCCTTGGTACCCCAAATCCCAAATCATTTTAATAACATAGAGACTTCTGCACACAAGCATAGAAGTAACTTGGAAGCTATTGAGAATGACTCTGGCAGCTGTCCTTGTGTGACTAGGGTCAAAGGCCCATTTCAGTATGAGTACTTTGCTCTGAGCCTTCTGCTCAGGAAGTGTTTGTAGGATTGTTAAATACACACTAGGGTTTGCTGTGGGGGAGGCATCGATTGCAGAGGTCACAAACAGGGAAAGCCTCCATGTTGTGGTACCGGGCCCAGCACTAGTAGGACAGGTCCTTGGGGGTTTTTGATTATTGTTTTAAGATTATTTTTGTTTACTGGTGTTTGCCTGCGTGTAAGTCTGTGCACTGAAGGCGTAAGTCACAAACAATCCCACAGCAGTTTGGAATTATGATTAATAAGGTGGTATTTATTTAAAGGGGAAAAAAACTTACAGATCACCGTCCCAGACAACAGCCCTCTGGGCAATCAGGAAGGAGTAAGAGAGAACAAGGAGGGAAGACACCGCTTTTTTAAAGAGAGAGACCACGCCCCAATGGGCTGGTATCTCAGCGGCTATTGGCTGGAGGAACGGAAGGACCTCCTGCAACAGTGCACCAAGTGCACATAGTGCCTGAAATACCAGAAGAGAGCATTAGAGCCCCTGGAACTGAAGTTATACTTGCTAGCTGCTCAGTGGGTGCTAAGAATCAAACCCAGGTCCACTGGAAGAGCAGCCAGTGCTCAGTAACCACTGAGCCATCTCTAGCCCAGTCCCAGGATATAAACAAAGGACGTGGATCTGCTTATAGGACTCAGGCAGAAATGATAAGATCGCTATTTAAGGGACTTTTAATCTATAATGATATGGCAAATTGGAAAATAAAAAGCTGGATTGAATGTAATCGCCTGTCATCTCAGCATTTGGGTGACTGAGGCAGTGTGAGGTTTGAAAAGTTTAATACCAGGAGAGAGATCAAAATGTAAAACTTAAAGATTTATTTATTTATTTTGTTTACAGTATTCTGTCTGCATGTGTGCCTGCAGGCCAGAAAAGGGCACCAGATTTTATTACAGATGATTGTGAGCCACCATGTGGTTGCTGGGAATTGAACTCAGGGTGTCTAGAAGAACAATCGGTGCTCTTAACTTCTAAGCCATCTCTCCAGCCCCAAAATGTAAAACTTTAAGACAATTCTGAAGAGAATTCTGAGCCCTCAGTCTCAGCAGTAGTGCTCCCCTCCCCCTGGGAATCAAGGATCTAACAGCTACACATGCAGTACTGAGATATTGGGAACTTTCCATCTCCCTGAATAGGGGCAAGATAAGCCTTAGGTGTTGACTCAGTTACCGATGTTTTGACTCAGGCCCTGGGAAAGGGGCAAAGTGACCCTCAGATGTTGCCCCTTACCTCTCATCTGATCTGGTAATGGCTCTCCAGCTGATTATTGGTAACAGCCCTTTTGAATAAGCCAATCATAATAGTCAAAGAACAACCCCCAGACACCCCTTTTGCTTCTGTGTTTTTTTTTTTCCTTTAAAAGTAGCCTGTACCAGCTATTCGGGGTCTTTCTGGCCTCTAATGCTGAAGGACCCTGTCATGACAGAATTAATAAAATCCTCATGCTTTTATTTACATCAGCTGTGGTATGAGAGATGGTCTCTTGGGGTGACTCCTCCTCGGTGACTAGACTCTAGGGTCCAACAAAAAGGTATCCTCGTTTTAGCTCTCGAACCCGGTCACTCTAAGAGGACAGGCTGGCAGCAATTTAGGTGGGAGTACCTCAAAAGTCAGAAGCTCATCTTATAGTGTGTTCAGTGAGGCCACTTCTGGGAGGTCCCTTTAGGGAAGAGCTCACTGGCATCTGTGCTTCTGAGGCTGAGACGCCTCCTCACATGGTGGCATCCTGCTTGGGACTCCTCTCCCCTCCAAGGATGGAAGCAGAGCTTTCTCTCAGGTGTAAGGTGCAGTCAACACTCACACAGCGGTCTTCTAAATCCCTAAAATGCTCCTAAGAGTCAGCACCCCCCCATTCCTAAACTGGTGGAGTTGGGACTGGGCATCTACAGACTCCCAGCTCAGCACCTGTGTATTGTCCTCTGCCGGGGTTTCCTTGGGAACGAAGGAGGTGTGGTTGGCGGCCATGGTAGTCACTTTGTGAAAGTAATTTAACTTAATTTTCTTTCTGAGCTTCTCATAGGATTATTAGAGCCAGAAAAAGTCCCCTTAGGTCATTTACTTAGGCAACATTTACTTGTGGGTTGTATTATGTAGCTTAGTGGTAGACTGCTTCTCTAGCAGCATGAAGCCCTAGGTCCCAGCCATACACATGCATGCACACACGTAGGCTCACGTGCACGTGCACACACACACACACATACACACTTGCACACACACCCGCACACGCACATGACCCCAGCAGATGGTCATTTACTCAAGAAGCATTCAACATTTCTCCATAGGTTGTGTGATGTCCTCTAGCAGCGCAAGGCCTTGATTCTTAGAAGCATCATGGCAATTAGATTTCACTTAATTACCTAACAGGTTTGCGCAGATGTGTCTTTCTGTGACACCATTTAGTTGGTGCTTCAGCCACGCGTGGGCTGAACCTGGCACAGTCAGCATCCCCCAGCCTTTTAGGGCTGATGGTCATGAACGGCAAGAGTAGTAAGTGCAGGCTCCTCGGCTCTCCCTTGGGTGGAAAGGAGAGTGGAATCTCAGGCAGGTGTTTGGGGTTTAGTTTTGCTAAATTTGAAGCAGCGGATGGGATTATCTAGCTACACAACTGATGTGGGAGTGTCATATATCAATCTGTTGATTTCATTGGCTGAACAATAAAGGAACTCCTTGGCCCTGATAGGTTAAAAGATAGATGGGAGGAGGAAACAGAATAGGATGCTGGGCGGAAGAGGAAGTGAGGTCAGACTCTGCTCTGATCCCGGACAGACCCGACAGCTCTGCTAGAGCAGAGACGCCATGCCATCCCAGGCAGATGCACGCAATGAAGCTCCTCCAACCTAGGATGGATGTAGGCTAGAATCTTCCCGGTAAGCGCACCTTGGGGTGCTTACACACACACATTATTAGAAATGGGCTAGTCCAGGTGCGAGAATTAGCCTGTAAGGGTTGGAGTTCACGGGCCAAGCAGTTCTTAAATGAATACAGTTTGTGTGTTGTTATTTCGGGCATGAGTTAGCCAAGTGGCCGGGGTGTTGAGGACACAGCCCCGCCGCCACTTCTATTTCAACACACAACCCAATATGAACACATTTCAGGGAGTGAGCCCTGCATGTGTAACTGTTAGCTGCGCTCAGTGAGTCAGGTGGAATGGAGCAGAGGTTGAGGCAGAGGGATCTCTTCGAGTTCAGACTGGTCTATAAAGAGAGTTCCTGCCCCGTGATGTACAGTCCCGTTCCACGACGTTGGAGATGAAGCTGGGCTTCGAGTCTGCGCCTGCATATTCCTACGGCTTCTCAGAGTCCTCTGGACCGTGACTGAGGAGACAAACCATGCAGGAAACAGTCTTAAACCAGGAAATAGGGGAATGAGACTGCGTGATTGGGAAACTGGATTAGAATTTATTTATGAAATAAAAATGTCCTGTTTTTTTTTTAAAAAAAAAAAAAAAAGAGTTCCTGTCCAACCAGGGCTAATAGTGAGGTACCAGCCTTGTCCCATCCCCTGTTTCCTCCTTGAGAATGGAGCAACAGCTCTGGCCATCTGTGACAGGGTGTAGACAGTGCTTGGGTGAAGTGTTAATCTGATTATTCCTCACCAATAGAAACCCAGGAGTCAGACATTGGGGTAAGAACCTGAAGACTAGGAGAAGCAGAGGAGCCCCCGGTCCTGACCTACCTGCTCCGTGCCTTTCTCCAGAGGGGCTGAGAGCCCTCCCCGCCCTGCCTGCCTTCCTGTCCTATCTGTCCTCAGTCCCGCAGAACTTCTGTGGATGATTTGGTCAGCTAGCAGCTACCTCTGCCCTTTGACTCGAAGTAAGCTTTATTTTCACACAACATTTGGTTGTCTTCTCCCTTAGGCCTCCGTATTTCCGTCTGGGAAACAGAAATGCTCCTGATTGGACTGGATTGGATAATGGGCATTCAGAAGCTTTGTGCATAAGAAAGGCCTGTAGCCTCTCCAGTGTCAGCAAAGTGTGTAATTCTGTCAGCATCCTTCATGTACTTCTGCTTAGTGCCAGGATGCAGTAGTATCCAGAGCTCATTTTATATTCAGGACTCTAGGGCGGGCTTCCTTCCTGAGCCCTCCTTAGGACTGGCGTTTATGTCCCTCATCTCTGGTGGTGAACCCCAGACTTTCTTCACATCCCGACAGCCCTCTCCACCCGTGACTTCTGCCCATCCCTGCTCTTACAGAATGAGTAACGTGTGAAGGGGCAGATGAGCAGGTGAATGCTAGCTGAGGCTGGGCTCTGAGCCTCGTGCACAGGCCCTCAGCCCACAGTCCACCTCCAGCAGGATTTGCGCTTGTGTGTCGGGCTTTGCTGGTTTCTCAGTGCACAGCCTCCTTGGTCGATTTTTACAGCAATGTCATGGTCTGGGGGAGGGGTAACCGCTAAGCTGTCCTCAGTATCTATTAAAGTCACTAGGGTTAGAATTGTCTCCGCAGTGAAGGGCACTTGTTGCTGTTTGCAAAGAACCCAGGTTGGGTTCCCAGCATTCACATGGCGGCTCACACTGTGAGGACCTGACTTGCAAACTCCCTTTTAAAGAGGGGGCTTCATCTTTAGCCACATAATGAGCTGGGGGTGGGCGACCTCAGCTCCAGAAACGTGCTGCCGTAGCAGACATTTGAACAGATGCCCTAAAAATGGCCAGTTAAGAAGATAGGGAGCAGGGTCATAAAATTTAAAAGGGTCCAGATGCTCTTGGGAGGCATCCTGTCCTTGAAGATACCTTGTCTGTTATTAAAGGCTCTTTGTTAGGTTTTCAGGCCCCCAAATTGACCAATGGGTTCAGAAACTGTTGGACCCTGGAGTCCAATCACTGAGGAGGAGTCGCCCCAAGAGACCATCCCTCACACCACGGTTGATGAGGATTTTATTAATTCTGTCGTGAGAAGGTCTTTCAGCATTCAAGAAGCCAGAAAGAAAGACCCCAAATAGCTGGTACAGGCTAGTTTTAAAGCAAAAAGCCACAGAAATAAGGGGGGAGTCTGGAGGGTGTTCTTTATTATGATTGGCTTATTCAAAGGGCTATTACCAATAATTGGCTGGAGAGTAATTGCCAGATCAGGTGAGGTAAGAGGAAACATCTGAGGATTACTTTGCCCCTTTCCCAGGGACTGAGTCAAAACATCTGTGGGCATCTGTGTGTTATCTCGTCCCTATTCCAGGAACGCAGCTCTATTTGGAGAACACTCACAAGGACTCAGGGAGATGGAAAGTTCCCAGTAGTTCAGCACGTGCATGTATAGTTGTTAGGTCCTTGGTTCCCAGGGGAGGGGGAGCACTACTGCTGAGAGGCCTCAGAGTTGTCTTAAAGTTCTACAGAACTACTTTACCCTATGCCCTCCTTACCCAATCCCAAGACGACAGGGCATGAACTTCCCTGATCACAGCATTTAAAAGTTCTCCCTCGCCGGGCGATGGTGGCACATGCCTTTAATCCCAGCACTCGGGAGGCAGAGGCAGTCGGATCTCTGTGAGTTCGAGACCAGCCTGGTCTACAGAGCTAGTTCCAGGACAGGCTCCAAAGCCACAGAGAAACCCTGTCTCGAAAAACCAAAATAAATAAATAAAATTAAAAAAATAAAAATAAATAAATAAATAAAAGTTCTCCCTCCAGGACTCCCTGCCGCACTTTCTGCACCCACCTGCTGGGGTGCTGGAGAGATGTTGGTCCAAACTTAAGCTTGAATATTATTAAAAACCCTCTTGTAATTTGCACTGGAAATCCAGCTCTGTGAATTTATCTGGGGACCAGAAACTTGGACATAGTAACACCATCCGCAATTCCTGTTCCAAGAGACCTGACACCCCTTTCTGACCTCTGTGGGCACCAGGCATGCACATACATACATGCAAAGCATTCATACACGTAAGTAAATCTAAAAAGATTTTTCACTTCAGAAATAGATGGTTGTAGAAATAACTCTCAGGAACTTAAACAGAGTTTTACCTAATGCCCTCATGTAGGTGTTCTCTTACATCTGTCTGTTGCACGGATAATAAAAACCTAGAGACAGTGGGTTCAACCTGAAGATCAGAAAAGCAAAGTAGCCAGCCACCAGAGAGACCTTTTACCTCTACCAAATCTTCAGACTGAAGTTGTGAGAATCTGTCTAACTCCACACCACTGAGTTCTGTCTCTTCCCCTTTATATTCCCCTCTCTTCCCAGCTATATCGCTCCTGTCTCCAGCTCCTTAGTGCTGGGATTAAAAGTGTGATCACAAGTACAGGGATCACCTTTATGTGAACTGTCTCTCTTTTTAGACAGATTTAATCTTGTGTAGACCAGGATGGCATTGAACTCACAGAGATCTGCCTGCCTCTGTCTCCAGAGTCCTGGGATTAAAGTTGTGCCACCATTCCCTGGTCTGTAAGACTGCTTTGCCCTCTGATCTTCAGGCAAGCTTGCTTTATTAAAACACAAATAATATCCCACTATGCCTGTCTTGGGTGTGTCGCCCTCTGACCTCAAGAACCAGGACTAAGATGTAGGCCGTGCATGATGGTGCCACTTGGTTTTGAAGGTGTGCCCAGTGCTAACAGCGCCAGGCAGATTTCACTTCCCTTAAACCTAATCACTTTTAGGTCTTCGTTTGGTCAGTTTAATTTTATTATTTTGTGTGTATGGGTATTTTGCCTGTACATCTCTATGTACCGTGTGTGTGTGTGGTCCTGCAGAGGCTGGAAGGCATTGGATCCTCTAGAACTAAAGTCACAGATGGTCATTGTGAGCCATCATGTGGGTGCTGGGAATTAAACCTGGGTCCTTTACAAGAGAAGCCAGTGAGTACTGTTAATCACTGAACCATCCCTCCATCCCACAGGTCTTTTTGTTGGGGGATGTCTAACTATATCAGCCCTGAACTCACAAAGGTCCTCCTGCTTCTGCCTCCCAAGTGCTGGGACCAAAGGCATGCGCCACCATGCCCAGTTTCTGCCTTTGCTATCTGAAGCCCTGTTGGCATGCTCCAAACAGAACTGTGGCAAGTGCTCAGACTAGGGGTCTTTTACAAAGTACAGTTGCTTTAATACATATTTCTACACAGCGAGATCCAGGACAGCCAGGACTTTTACGAAGAGAAACCCTGTCTCGAAAACCAAAAACCAAAATTTCTATCTCCACATGTGTGTATGCCTGAGTGTATGCATGTGCACCACATGCTTGGGGTAGCCTGTGAGGGTAAGAAGAGGCATCAGCTCTCACAGCTTGTCTGCGAGCCTCCATGTGGGTGCTGGGATTCAAACCTGGATCCTCTACAAGAGCAGCCAATGCTCTTAACCACTGAGCCGTTTCTGGCTCCAACAGTTGTTTTGTTGGAGAGAAAGCTGTTCCTTTGCTATGAAGGTTGGCCTTGAATCCTGGGCTTTCGCTCTCCTCTTGCCTTGGCCTTCCGAACACCTGGAAGTGCAGGCATGCACACCCATGTACCTCGCTGTCACCCTAGCTTCCATGCGTGGCACACTGATACCTGCATTGAATATTGAAGATTTAATTAATAGCACGGTACCAGGATTTTGTTTGAAACTCTTAGAATTTCTGAGGCTGGAGAGAGCACAGTGGTGATGTTGGACCCTAGAGTCCAATCACCGAGGAGGAGTCGCCCTAAGAGACCATCTCTCACACCACAGCTGATGTAAAAGAATGAAGATTTTATTAATTCTGTCGTGAGAGGGGTCTTTCAGCATTAGAGAGGCCAGAAAGACCCCGAATAGCTGGTACAGGCTACTTTTAAAGGAAAAAGCCACAGAAGCAAGGGGGTGTCTGGGGGTTGTTCTTTGACTATTATGATTGGCTTATTCAAAAGGGCTATTACCAATAATTGGCTGGAGAGCAGTTGCCAGGTAAGAGGAAACATCTGATGCTGAAATAGGAAGCGGCGGGGCTGCGTCCCCAACACCCCGGCCGCTTGGCTAGCTTATGCCCGAAACAACAACACACAAACTGTATTCATTTAAGAACTGCTTGGCCCATGAACTCTAACCCTTACAGGCTAATTCTCGCACCTGGACTAGCCCATTTCTAATGATGTGTGTAAGCACCCCAAGGAAGAGTCTAGCCTCCGTCCATCCTGGTGTCTCTGCTCCAGAGAGCAGAGCTGTTGGGTCTCTCCGGGAGCAGAGCAGAGTCTGACCTCACTTCCTCTTCCGCCCAGCATCCTATTCTGTTTATTCCACTCACCTATGTTCTAAGCTATGAGGCCAAGCAGTTGGTTTATTATAATTAATCAATTACCTTCCTCCATCAATCTGAGGGTCACTTTGATCCCTTTCCCAGGGGCTGAGTCAAATGAAGTCTCCAGGAGGCCTCCTACCTGGCACATACATCAGGAACTGAG